TATTAAATGTTTCATGTATTAAAATAATATCAGTATCCCAGTCTCAGACTGCCCTATCGTCCCTTGCTTTTCTTCTTCATTGAGATCACAACGCTTTTGTTGGTTTGTTTTGAAACAAGGCCTATGCTATGAACTTGAAAGTGTTGTGAATTGTGATCGTCGATGTCATTTTTAGCGGCATCTACAAGGCTAAGTTGTCTCCGGCTTAGTGAAATAATAACCTTAGCGAAAAGGTCACGCGACCGATTTCCTGACCTCGCTCTGCGTACGCGTCAATTAAAGTGACTAATGGTTTGTTGTACATAGTCTTTGCGCCCGGTTTCGCTTAATTAGTGCAGCCTATGATTTAGTAGGATAATTTGGAGTAAATTTGCATTGAGGTACTTTGCAAATTGGCGGTTTGCACCTGGTCGTTAAGTTTTTGTTATTTGCATTTGTCTTTGATTTACAGTTAACTTTTCTTCTTGCTTGATGATAATAAGTTGTTCAGCTTTTGCCATATTCTCTAAACTTACGTACTTTTTAAAACTAGAGCTTTCTTTACCTACATTTAAAGAAGGTAAATGATAACAAATGACATGCTTTCAATGCAATGCTAATTTGTTTTAATGCAACGAGTGCTAAAAGAAATGTTTATGCATGAACGTTGAGCAAACTTCAAACTCAACAAGCTATTCAAAACAATACCTAGATCTTGATAATTCCTATGAAACAATAAGCAAGTTACTACGGCATTGATAAAATCAGTTTTGACACATTTGAGGCTCTGAGCGACAAAACAATTTACCAACTACAGCGATAGGGTGTAATTTTTTTGACACGGTTACCTTGTTGGTGTCAGCATACCTATTCACTGACTTGTAATTATCTATAATAATAATAATATTATAAATACATAGCATAATAATCGTTTGCGGGTATGTATATTTGTAAGACAGAATATCACAAAATAATCTTGGGACTTTTATAAGGTTCTATTACAAAAAAGCTGCATTATTATTGGCGCCCAAATGTGTTAATCTTTTGGCAGTTTTAGTTTCAAACGAATCCCAACGGTATTTCTTAGACAGATATAACGTGCAGAGCCGCGGGCAAAAGCTAGTACACAATACACTAGGCCCATTAAGATTGCAGATACTTGTGTGCCTGCGTGTTGAAGGATTTTCGAAGTATAACTTTTGAGAACGCCTACGGCCAATCGCACATTACGTTTCACGATAAGTACGAAATAGCACCTAAACTAGTTCTGAAATCATTAAAGAGTATTTATGAGAACACTAAAAACAGATAAGCAATTTATTGAAAATGGTTATTCTCTATGAAGTTGTGTAGGTATTTCTGAATCATTATTACATCGGTTGTGAGGAATATTTTAATGCTTTAAATATTTAGACCAATCAGTCTGGAATCTCTACTAAAGCTAGTTTCAGGATATAGACCTAGAGCTACAACTATACGACCATTTTTCAAGTGAAGTTCCTATGTAGGTATACTCATTTTATATCGTCGTATAACTCAAACTGATCTTTAATTATTCAGAATAATGTATAAATTGCGAGACTCAAAAAAGAACTGGTACCTACTTACCTACTCTTGTCTAGCCTTGGCCTGAGATTCAATAAAATAGTTGGGATGATATTTAGCTCTATCACTCTTCTTCGATAAGTCCATCAGCATTAGCTTCCTTTGGAGATAGTGATATAATCGATAGTGAGATTTAAACCATTTAATGCAAAGAACCTATGGATGCTTAAAATAGTCTAGGACCTTGGGTTCCGTATTTTCTATCCTTATGCTCCTATCCCTTTCGGTAGGTGAAGGTTGTTTAAGACGTATCCAAATAAGTACTTCGGTTTGAGGTAGGGCTCTTGAACTACTTATAACTACGTGGTCATAATTTAATAGCATGATTAATAGTAACGGGTGTAGTCCTGTTAGCCTAGAGCAAGAAATCTAGTAATTCCACCAAGTTTGAACAATGATTGGAAAGTTCATAAATGTCGTTGTTTAATAAACATGAATAGAGCTGGTTATAGACATTCCATTATGCGATGGTGAAAATGATGATGACGAAAACGATGATGATGGTGGCGAGGATGAAAATCAATGCTTAGGTATAACTTAAGTGCTATATTTCACCGGGACACCATGGCGGCGCAACCAGTCGCCGCTACCAGCAAAATGTAGACATATCTATAGAGAGTTACTCACCTGGTGTCCGTTTGGTTGCGCAAAGCTACATATATTTTGCTGGTAGCGGCGACTGGTCGCGCCGCCATGGTGTCCCGGTGAAATATAGCCCTTAAAGTCAAGTATCTTTGTCCTATCCATAAAGAATCTATCCATAGTTCAATATGTCATTCAATCTCCAATCCTTGAATCGATCGATAAAAAATGTCCATGTGACGTCCATTAAAATAAAAATTAAAATTCATAAAATTCATTTATTTTTGCAAATAGGCTTTAAAAAAGCGCTTTTACACGTCCCAATATTAACCCTACCACTGCTTCGGGACAATAAATGGGCCAGTGTCTGAGCATGGCACAATCCACGATCGTATCCATTGCAGCCATTGTTTTAATTGCATTTATCGATAATTACGAGTAAAATGCCGTGCGTAGTGCCCATGCCTTGAGTGTAGTAGGTATTGCTCAGTGTTGTCATATCAGTGTGTTATACTTTACTGAATTCTACAAAATAGGAAATTTAGATAATTAAAAATTATGGTGTGCTTGCGACTCTACCAAAATTCTACCAGACATGAAATAATATAAGAAAGATAAAGGCTGTGCCGATCTGCACCATATTTTCATCTTTCATGACTTGTAGCCATACAACTCCAAATTACATGCAAGGTAGTACAATCAACTCGTAGGGAGGTACTTACTATATTTGCATTTTTTTATGAGATTTGGGCAGATTTACAAAAAGTCCCACATTGATTTCTAAACCTTAAAAATTAGTTGCTTATCTATTTACATTCCTTCAGAGAATTATTTCAAAAAGGTACACAAACCTTTTTGGGAACATTCGCGTTCGATCAGCTAGCAACACCGATCACATAGCGTGCCAATAATAATCGATATACTTACCAATAGACAGCAAATATGTCGGATATACTTGAGTCGTGACGCAAACGACATTGGCCATTGTCTTTCGGCCCGGATTTAGGCGAATTTAGGTTCAAGATCTTTAGAACCGAGTACGTTTTTATGGGCGTGTCTGATCGAAAGGTCGGTTTACGTTTCCATTTTTAATAATAGTTTTCGGTACCATTGTCATTGGGCAAGAACGATTAAAAAATAAACAGCCATTGTTAGGCTGTTTTAATGTTTGCAATAAATTGTTATCAGGTTATGATTTATTGCGGATTTCTTTATCGTATAAAATATTGTCTTGAAAATTAGAAATTGTTTGTTTACTTACTTAAAAATGAATTAGGAAATAGGAAGTTAGCATTCCAACCTACTTAAGTTTTTCGCTTTCTTCTAATAAGCTTTAAAACAAGTATTTATCCACGTGACACTTAGGTTGAGTTGCACCATCTAACTTTGATCATAATTTTAACGATATTATATTTGTATGGAGTTTGACAGATTTTTGACGTTTGTCAAAGCTAAAGTTAGATGGTACAACTCAGCCTTAGGTAGTACATTAATATACACTCGCGAGCAAAAGTATGGAATCACTTACATGAAGTTGTTTTCACGCGATCTTGTGTACTAACGAATTTGTTAGTAACAAAAAAAGTGGCACCATTTTAAAGATTAAACTTTTATCTTTAAATTGATACCAAATTCATTTAAATCACACCAGTATTTAAAAAGATATCCCGGCTGATGTGAAGAAGTAACGAAAAAGACATGTATCAACTGTTTAATACGTCGCGAGTTGCGGCCTATTTACCCCCTATTAAAGCACGCGTTTTCGGATTTTTGCTTTCACACGTTGATTCATACACATCTCCGCTTCTTTTGACACTTTACCTGGGATTCTACACCTTCAAAAGCAGCACAAATCGTTGCACTATTGCAAGAAGGGCTCAGCCAGCGGGCTGTCGCACGTCAGCGCCACATAAGCCAGTCCTGGGTTTCGAAAGTTTAAAAAACCTTTGATAATTTACTATTTGATAAAGAATTTACGTATTTATTATTGATTAGGACTAATGTATACCATTATTTATAATTATGGAGTCGGTGTTGGAAGATTTGAAGATTTTATAGTTTCCTTGAGCTGTCACTTGACAGCCTGGCACACTTTTACGATGGTGGATCAAAGTATTTTGGTTTGACTATAGAGCGTGAGAACACGCACACAGTCATAATTATTTTAGTGTGAATAAAACTAGCATCGAAATTACCTAAACTTGACATGCCACGCTAGACGTAAACGCTCTTAAGGGAGAACGACTCCTTCTGGCACAAGTGCCATTGCACTTACAAGAAAGAGTCCACCTCAAATCCTATTAATTGTTGTTGTTGATGAAATAAACATTTTTCATTTTCATTTTCAATATCATATACATTGACAAAATCATGGTTCACAAAATCAAATCATGGTCAAAAAAAAAAAAAAAGAAGAAGACTTAAACTGGGACAGTCACTTGTACGATAAAATTGTACCAACTCTTTTAATAAAAACTTTATTACTTTATCTCTACTTAATTTATAAAAAAAAAAACATTATAACTTAACTTATTATTAAGATGAATGCTCAATTTTATCAAATTGATCAACGGTTAAAATCCAGTTTCTAGAGGCGAAATGCAAATGCAAAGAAATGTATTGAATAATGAATCAGATGTCATTCTGCATTCAGTCATTTTTGAAGAATGAAATCTAATTGGTGGTCATTCAAAATATTTCTCCGCTCCATTCCACAGTTGATTACCGGAACTTAGGTTAACATCACAGACCGATATCACGAAAAATTTTCTTTTCCCATGTCCTTGATTTGCATTTATTTGATGCAATCTAATTTGTACATGCCCTGTACGTACCTCTGGTGGCACCTGTATATTGAGCAAGGCGGCGAGCGCGGTGCGCAGCAGGCGGCCGTGCAGGCGCGGCGCGGCGGGCCCCAGCGCGTCCGCCATCTCCAGCCACACGAGCGCGTCACCCGCGCCGCCTGCCACCGCCTCCGACAAGGCCCGACTCGCCTCCTGGGGGATTTGTGTATCAATTGAAAGAAAGAAAGAAAAAAAGATACATTTATTGCAATGGACATCACACAAATACAGGCAATTACATAGACATGACAGTGACGCATAATAATGGAAGAAGAAAAATATTAAAACAGTAAACTGAGCAGAGCCACCCATTTACCAACAAAATGCCCACTGCAACGGGATCCCACTCAGCATATGCTGGGGCCCACGGTGACGAAGGCCACGGCGCTGGTTTTCAGTGTGCCAGTTTTCAGGTCACGGACCATTGGTAAAAATAAAATAGTAAGCTGCATAAAATTGTCTACATGAACATACATATTAAATAATATTAAATAATATTTAGTAGTAAATAGTAATTGAGGAATCAATTCCGCGTCTCATGTGTGTATTTATGATTTCCTCTGACGCAGTCGCGCCGTTACACCCTAGCTATGCGACCTTCAGCTCACCCCGTGCGGGTCCGCGAAGAGGTCGCGCCCCAGCAGCGCGTGCAGCGCGCGGCGGCTCCGGCGGCGCAGCCCGCGCGAGCGCGCGCCCAGCGACGCGGCGCACAGCCACACGCCCGCCACGCACGCCTCGTCGCAGCCCAGCTGCCCCGACAGGGACGCTTCGCACACCTGGAAACCGGAACGATAAAGAAAGAAAGAAACATTTATTTCCAAAAATACTTGTATACAGAGTTAATTACCGAGTCTTCCCAGTAAGTAGTCAGAGACACTTGTATTGGGAATAACTCGCTACTTCCCATTAGGATAATTAATAAAATAATAAAAAGCTTTTATTTCCACAAGTTTACAATTTTAAATATTAAGTTAGAAGCATTTGTCTTCGCTCTTGTGGCACCCCTGTATGGGCAAAAGCCTCCTCCATTCCGCTCCATTTCTTCCTGTCCTGGGCTAGGTCGAGCCAATTTTCTCCCGCTACTCTCATTATATTGTGTCGACCTAGCCCAGGACAGGAAGAAATGGAGCGGAATGGAGGAGGCTTTTGCCCATACAGGGGTGCCACAAGAGTGAAGACAAATGCTTCTAACTTAATATTTAAAATTGTAAACTTGTGGAAATAAAAACTTTTTATTTATTTATTTTANTTCTTTTCAGGTGCAAGCTATGTTGCCTTTCAGGATCTCTTTGTGCGACCAGAACTTTTTCCAGGTGATGTTTATCCTTCTGCTTATTTCCTCTTCGTTGCTATCATTAGGATAATTATCTCTAATCAATTCTAGGAGTATTAGTTCACTAAGTAAGCATTTACTTTGGTATGTAAGAAAATTACAGCAGTAAATTGTAATAAGTTATGGTAGATTACTGACTCTCTTTCATTAACATAGAAAGATAAGATACGATAAGTTCAGTTGTTTCCACCGATGAGAGTCGATGAGCTCGCATGAGTCGATAGGCTTCATTATAAAAACTTACATCTTCGGTGAGAGTCGCGAGAGTGCCGGGCGTGGCTTCCCGGAGGCTCTCCAGAAGCGCCACGGGCACGTAGTCCTGCGGCAGACGCGTCAGCATCGGAACGAGCGAGTCATCCCATCAAAAACAATACTTGTCAAAAAAACCAAGTCTCGCAACTCAGTTGTTCTACGGTAAAAAGTTGTGAGATCCATGTAATACCAAGTCCAGGCCAGGAAATCTTTAACGTTTTACATAAATATATTGACTTGGCCATCGCATGAAAACACGTGTAAATTAAATTATTTAGTGCGATGGCCAAGTCAATAATTTATGTAAAACGTTAAAGATTTCCTGGCCTGGACTTGGTATTACATGGATCTCACAACTTTTTACCGTAGTACAACTGAGTTGCGAGACTTGGTTTTTTTGACAAGTATTGTTTTTGATGGGATTTGATTTTATTTGATGCAATCTAATTTGTACATGCCCTATACGTACCTCGGGTGGCGCCTGTATGTTGAGCAAGGCGGCGAGCGCAGCGCGCAGCAAGCGAGCGTGCAAGTGCGGCGCGGCGGGCGCCAGCGCGTCTGCTAGCTCCAGGCACACAAGCGCGTCACCCGCGCCGCCCGACACCGCTTCCGCCAAGGCTCGACTCGCCTCCTGGGGGATTTGTGTATCAATTGAAAGAAAGAAAGATACATTTATTGCAATGGACATCACACAAATACAGGCAATTACATAGACATGACAGTGACGCATAATAATGGAAGAAAAAAAATATTAAAACAGTAAACTGAGCAGAGACACCCATTTACTAACAAGATGCCCACTGCAACGGGACCCCACTCAGCATATGCTGTGGCCCACGGTGACGAAGGCCACGGTGCTGGTTTTCATTCAGTGTGCCCCATACCGAGTGAGGGTCACGGACCATTGGTAAAAATAAAATAGTAAGCTGCATAAAATTGTCTAGATAAACATGCATATTAAATTTTTTTAGTACCAAATAAATATTTTTTCTTTCTTTCTTTCTTTCTAAAATAGTATTAAATAATATTAAGTAGTAAATAGTAATTGAGGAATCAACTCTGCGTCTCATGTGTGTATTTATGATTTCCTTCGTTCGGCTTATTCCACTATTCCCCATTGACAATCCCCGTCAACGGGGATTAGTAAACTTTTTGTTCACTATTCCCCGTTAACGCCAATTGGAGCTTATAATGTTATAAATAAAATCCTAATATAACGGGGATTAGTGAACTTTTTGTCAACGGGGAATAGTGGAATAAGCCCTTCGTTCGGAGCTATGCGACCTTCAGCTCACCCCGTGCGGGTCCGCGAAAAGGTCGCGCCCCAGCAGCGCGTGCAGCGCGCGGCGGCTCCGGCGGCGCAGCCCGCGCGAGCGCGCGCCCAGCGACGCGGCGCACAGCCACACGCCCGCCACGCACGCCTCGTCGCAGCCGCCCAGCTGCCCCGATAGGGACGCTTCGCACACCTGGAACGCAGAACGATAAGTTCAGTTCCATTGATGAGAGTCGATGAACTCGCATGAGTCCGTAGGCTTCATTATTATAAAATNTATAAAAACTTACATCTTCGGTGAGAGTCGCGAGAGTGCCGGGCGTGGCTTCCCGGAGGCTCTCCAGAAGCGCCACGGGCACGTAGTCCTGCGGCAGACGCGTCAGCATCGGAACGAGCGAGTCCGCGAGCGCGGGCGGCGCGGCGCGCGCGGCGGCCTGCACGCGCATGGCGGTGACGGCGGCGGCCAGCGCGGCCTCGCCCTCGGAGCCGCTGGAGTCGGCCGCGTGCGCCACCGCCGCGTCGGCCGCGCGCAGCGCCTCCAGCTCCCGCTCGCACTCCGCCTCGCGCGCCCGTTGGCTCGCGAGCTCCTCCGCTGTCGGCATCCGAAGCAGCTCTTGCTGTAAAATTACGCGACTCGTTGTCTTATTGCATGCACCGAAACGTTCATAGCGTTCTTTGATTTAGGATTTCTTACAGAATCACGAGAAAATGATGTGTTGACGGATATGGGCGGCAATTCCTCATCATATTCTTCGTCACTCATTACGTATGATGATAAAATATAGATTATTTGGATCCGTTGTTTTGTTTTTCACCCAAAACAAATACACAAAGTTTGCCTAAAACCACAAATAAACAAAAACAAACAACAACGCGCGCCGGCCGACACAGCTGTTTTGTTTTTTTTTTCGAAATGTCAGCTTATTTTAACGATTCAAAACGGATGGCGACACCTTTGCCACTCATTGGCTGTATATAACCTCCTTATCAATATATGGATCGGCCTTTATAGCCTGACCAGGAACATAAAAACCCTCGCCATGTTGCGGAAAACGAATGGTACTAATTTCTTTTAATGGCAACAGTAACTGAAAACTTCATTGACATGTCACCTTGCATGTCAGTCTATTGTTGTCAAAGTGTAAACAAACTTTATTTTAAATGTTTGCAATTGATTTTGTGAATTAAATTGCTAAAATATTTTTATAGTCGTGAAAGAAAAGTGGTTCACTATGTGTTAATGTATTTGTCGAAGAGAAATACTTAGGGTTCGGACAATATTTTCATTGAATAATGTTTCCGACAAAGGTTGTCAAATTGACTGACATGTTTATCGTATAGTACAGTCCACTATGAAAATTAGCTGTAGTCTGTTTCAACTACCTATTTTAAAGTTTTTTGTCACTTTCTAAGTTTTGAATTTTATGGAATTGGGAAAGAAGTACCGAGTTTGAAGCGTTCATGAGCAGACATTGCAGTTGAATATTCAAGTTCTGAATTTGATTATTGATGAATAATAAAATAAATCCTACTAGCTCGATTGATGGTTTCATTTAATTTATTTAAACCAGGTTACCTTTAGTAATATTTTTCGTTAATTTATGAAAATATCAAATTAGCCCGTAATCCTGAATCCTGATACATAAATTTAGCCTATTAATTTAACACATGTACGACTGTACTCAGTGTTGCACTATCAAATGCAATTGAAGCGCCTCTATGCCAGGGTTTTTATGTTCCTGGTCAGGCTATAATCAAAGACTTCATTTATTTTAAAGTTTATCGTAATTTTCACGTTTTTTCCCAATCGAAGTAAAGAAGGAAATCGATACATAATAGATTATGCAGCACATTGCACTGCAACACTATTTGACATGACACTTCATGTGACAGTGACAGTTGGCCATTATCAGTCGTCCGTCAGTTTGCGGTTTGTGTTTCGTGAGGCTGTCTGTTTTCAAGTTTGCAAATTCCTCTTACCTACATTTCTTTCCTTTCTTTCATCAAGGAGTTTCAGGAATCCTCAGAATTCAGGAATTTTGATTGTACTTTTGGTCGTAAATAGTTTCTGTGGTAGTGTAAGATGTGGGAAGAAGGCAGCAGCAACAGTGCGGGCAGCGAGAAAGGAGGTGCGAAGTATGTGGACATCACAAAACACCACGACGCTGTCTTCAACGAGCTGATGCGGGAGTGCAAGCACAGCGCGCCCGGGGCCCGGCTGTCGGCGCGCCTGCGAACTTCGCTAGAGAGGTATTTGTCTTACACGTGATGATTATTATCGATCTGAGTTTAAAAATACCACTACTACTTTGTGTCTACTCTAGGAAACAAAGACTATTATTGATGATAACCATTATCGAGATGAGATAAAATTAACATTAGTTTAAAAGTTTCAATTATCAGCAACAAGTTTAGTGCTAAATCTTATTGTTAATCAGAATATTTAGATGACAATGAAAGTGAAAGTGTTTGCCTTGATGTTATAAGTGAAAAAAGATGTACTTGTGCGACTGTCGCTCTTCCTGCATCACATGCCATTTATGTAATTAAATACTTGTGGTACAAGTTGCAAGTGCATAAAGGCTCAGTGCCTAGTAACAAGTTATTGATTTCCTTAATGCCTATTTTTATTGTATGAATAGTTTTTGTTGTGTTGTGTACCACAAATGGTTTTTGGTTATTGTAGCAATGGTATTAAAATTGTTTAGGACTATTTAATAACTTGATAAAGTGGGAACGGTCAAGAGTTGAGTTAAGCATAATTTATACGCTAATAATAATAGTAACTAACTGGACCAGTAAATAATAGGATCCAGTTCAATTACAAGTATTGTTATCCAAATCAAAATCAAATAGTTTAATGCACGTCCGAAATATAGTTTGCCCTACCATCGTTAGAAGTGTTCCCACCAGCAGCTTTCAGCATACATTTTTTGCAAACACTTGTATGGCTAAAAACCATATCTGATCCTGAAAAACTGGATTGCCGTGGGAAAGGCAATCATGTCAATAGAAAGACAAAGGCCCTTAATGAACTTTTTGTCACATGTAATGGTTAGCTAAGCGATTTATATTACCTGGTTTATTATTACCTGGTGCCATAGCTAAGGTTGAAGTCTGTGCCTGGCGCCATAGCTCCTATTGAAGCTAATTAGTATTTGTTAAGAGCAAAGATAATTGTACCCTTCATTGCATGCTATTTTGTGTCCGAGTTATGCACTATTACTCCCCGTGTTATGTAACAATCAGTTTTCAACCATGGGCTTGGAGGGGAAAGTCAGATAGTTTGACCCGCCTGGGTATGCCTATGGTTGCGACATCGGTGAGCAGCAAGCTTTGTCCGGCAGGATGTGCCCGGAGGAGCGGCGCGCGGTGGTGTGCCGCACGGCGGAGGGCTGCGCGCCGCTGTTCGTGGCCAGCAAGCGCGGCAACGTGGAGCTGGTGGAGTACCTGGTGCACGTGTGCGCGGCCGAGCTGGAGCAGCGCGGCGTGTACGAGGTGCCCGACGACCGCTCCGTGCACACGGTCACGCCGCTGTGGTGCGCCGCCGTGGAGGGCCGGCTGGACGCGCTGGGCGTGCTGGCGGACGCGGGCGCGCGCGTGGACGCGCCCAGCGACAGCGGCTCCACGCCCGTGCGCTCGGCCTGCTTCATGACGCACCTGGACGTGGTGCGCTTCCTGGTGCAGCGCGGCGCCGACATCCACCGCCCCAACCACAACGGCGGCACCTGCCTCATCAACTCCGTGCAGTCCGTGCGCCTCTGCACCTTCCTGCTCGAGCACGGCGCGCAGGTCAGGCCATCTCTTGAGTCTCTGTCTGTTTAACACCATTTTTGAAAGCGTATATTTTGTTATCATCATTGTTCTGAGTGCCACTAGGTAAAGTGCTGGAAATATACTTATCATTTTCAATATTTCGTGGAGGAAATTAATTTTTGAACCTTATTGATGTGTCACATTTAAACGCACTTTTTAATCCTGGGCTGCACCATTTTACTTCAGCTATAATAAACATCAAATTTTAATGTCTGTCGAACTCTATAGAAAACCACTGGTCCATAACCAGTAATAGTTAAAGGTAAGGTCAATAAGTCAGCCTTAGCGTTAACAATGTTAATGTAACATTAGTATTAGCAATGTAACGCGAGCGGTCGTCTCGCAGGTGGACGCGCTGGACATGCAGCACAAGACGGCGCTGCACTACGCCATCCAGGAGCACCGCGTGGAGACGGCGCGCCTGCTGCTGGAGCACGGCGCCGACCCGCACCTCGCCTCGCGCGCCGGCGACGACGCGCTGCGCACCGCCTGCCTCAAGGTACCGTCAGCGACTCGATGGATGATTTATTTATTTATTTATTCAGAAACTCAACAGCTGTTTTACAATATTCATGTTAGTTTGATGAGCATTAAATCTAAGCCAATGAGGGCTATCGTTTTCAACCGACTTCAAAAAAGGAGGAGGTTCTCAATTCGACCCGTATGTTTTTTTTTTCTATGTTTGTTACGCGATAACTACGCCAATTATGAACCGATCTGAACAAATCTTTTTTCGGCGTATAGGTAATACCTCAAGGGTGGTCCCATTTAAATTTAATAATAGAATAAAGAGGTGGCAAAAGCAATGGCAAACAAACCACAATCAATAGTATTCGGTTGTCGCTGAACACTTGGAAACTGAATACATGACTCCGATAGATACGGAAACAAGGCTTTTACATATATTTTTTGCGATTTTCCTAGAACACCAACAAGACTATCGTACACACGCAGTATTCCATTAATGTAATAAATACAACTCCAGTGCCCCACTAATCCCACGTCACCGTCATAAATTACTTGAAGGTGCGTCTCATTTTTAGGTACAGGTTCAATCAGTTCAGGGTGTTGAAATAATTCTAGCTCACGCGGTCTAAATGATGTGCACCGAAGTAACTTTTCATGAAATGCGCGAACCACATCATCTTCGATATAGTTATTATAATTCAGAATGTAGGAAAACGTATTATCTAAAGTATCCATTGTTAGATGATATACAATAAGCTTTAGAAATTTTAAAAACCTGCTACGAAACACTAAAATTTGCACCAAAAACAAAGGAATTTATATTATTGGGGGATTTATTAGTACGTGACCGGTTTAATAGCACCTATTAAACCAGTATACCTACTTACTTATTTTTTATAATAGGTACAATTCAATATTAAAAAGTCTCAACGCCAAATTCGACTTGCGAAAGAAGTAAATGGGAACGATGAAATTCTCTTAGCGCGCACAAGTGACAACGACGTCTGCCCTCACGTGTCTGCCCGTTCGGGTCGACGCGGTTAGCTATCTTATCCCCGCTCCCGCGCGAGACCACGCCCCGCAACTCACGCGCTGCAGCGCAGCGAGCGACCGATCTTCTTGAATCGATGTAATAATAATCTATAGGATTAACGCGTTTTAAAAATATTGGTTCGATGGATATGTTTAACCTATTATTACTCAACAATCACATTTGTAATATTAAACTTTATCAAATGCACAATGTATTTAAGGTACATTACTGGATAAGGATTAATGGCGTATTGCTTGAATAAGCTAATATTTCTCGTAAAAAGTACCTACATTATAAAGATTTTATATCATCGCGGATTTTAAAAGGTGTACAATACTGTAGTATATTTTTTGATCTATCTTATAAGGTTCAGCCATCGTTTTCAGTGTAAGCACAATAACTTAACCAAAATTACAGTTAAATCAACCTATCTCAAAAACTATAAGAGATACTTTGATCAAACCAAAAATCGTTGAAAGAGTTAATTAGCATGCATCACCTCTATTTTTTTTAGAATTTTATACCCCGTAGTTATAAAAATAGAGGGGGGGGGACATACTTTTTACGACTTTGAGAGCTGATATCTCAAAAACCGTTCACTTTAAGAAAAATGTTTTTTAGAAAACTTTATATCATTTTAAAAGACCTTTCCATTGATACCCCACACGGGTATGTACATCGAAAAAAAAATTTTCATCCCTCAGTTACATGTATGGGGGGCCCCACCCCCAATTCTTTTTTTTACTATTTAGTGTCATAATTTTGTAGCGGTTCATACAACACATATTCCCATCAAATTTCATCACTGTAGTACTTATAGTTTCCGAGTAAATCGGCTGTGACAGACGGACAGACGGACAGACGGACAGACGGACAGACGGACATGACGAAACTATAAGGGTTCCGTTTTTGCCATTTTGGCTACGGAACCCTAAAAAACAACCCCCAAGGGTGGAAAATTGGGGATGAACTTTTTTAAACGCAATATCTCCGCCTATTATAAATCAATTTGAACGATAATTTTTTTGTTTAATAGGTATTATCAAAAGGGTGATTTCATGCGAATTTGAAGAAAATATTTCACCCCCAAGGGTGGAAAATTGGGGATGAACTTTTTTATACGCAATATTTTTAATTTTTAGTTTTTTTTGTGTTCACGCATTTGAAGTCGGTTTTATTTTTTAAAAAAGTTAATTATCGTGTCGACAACAAACCTACACAGTGTCAGCCCAAAACTCCGCCACAAGAGTGGCGTTGTCAGTAGCACTCATCAAATCCTCCTGAGTGCAGTTGCTTGGGCACTCAGGGCATGACATCAGGTGCTTCATCGACTGGGAAACATGAGCGGCTATTCTACTTCAATAAACTCCTAGTTCATACCATAACATATTGCCTCAAGGTGACGTCAGCGGCTCAATGGATGATTTATTTATTTATTTATTCAGAAACTCAACAGCTGTTTTACAATATTCATGTTAGTTTGATGAGCATTAAATCTAAGCCAATTAAAGAGTTTCCTAGCTGCTTAAATAAGTTCGTACATTATTACATTTATCAGGTAATGAGTAATGAGTACCAAGCGCTGCATGCTCAACCATGCCTAAAAATAATAATCATGATTGAACATGCTACTTCAACAAACTCCTAGTTCATAGCACGTGGAGCTGATGGCCGTTGGGCCAGAAAAGTTTTCGAGTGGCGACCACGGGCCGGAAGACGAAGCGTGGACAGGCCTCTTACTAGGTGGACCGATGATCAGGAGGAGCCTGAACGCGGGCAGCGCAGGACCGGTCGTTTTAGAATCTCTTTGGAAGAGGCCTTTGTCCAGCAATGATGCTTTTTGCCATGCCGATCTATTGTGATCGCCACTGTTTTCCAATTTGCCTGAGTCCTGCATCAATTAGTGTACTATCTTTTGGGGAGCAATATGTTTTACATTAGGCTTAGGATGTAAACTACGCTTGTGCAGCGAAGGTCCATAGTCCGTGAGGATATGTAGTAGCATTTCATCCGCCTCATGACACATCCTGCACGTTCTTGTTTCGGACAGTCCCATAGTGGACAAGTTCTTGTTTAAGCTGCAATGACTAGTGATGACTCGAACTAGGATGCGCACAATATGTGGGATGTAAGGCAGGGTACTTACCTGCCATGTAGCATGTAACGTAGCATGTAACGTGTCTAACCTTCAAGTGAGTACGGCTCGTCCACGGTCATCGCGTATCTAGCTGCGAGCTCCTGGAACCTACTGCGAGCCGCCTTTGTGATCGCAGTGATACCGCCAGTCTGCGGGTCGCTGCGATCTCCCTGCGAATTAGCTGCGGGCTCTTGCCTATGTTTATGTACTCACTTGATACAGTATCTGATACATTACATGCTACACGGCTAGATGAGTACCCTTCTTAATGGTCTAGTGTCCACCCCACCCCAGAAAGAAAATCTTAGAAATAGAAATGGGATAATCGTCCTAGGGTTTCTGATTTCTCGACTTATTTTTTTTCTCGAGTTTCGAGAATTCTCGAGGCCAAGGTCTCGAGTTTTCTCGGGTCTCGAGTCCTTTAATGAAAACTGCTGAAATCGGTTGAAATTTAATAAAAACACGGGGTTTTTTAATCTAATATACCTACTTTTGTGCACAACAATCAATATTAGAATTAAGTACCACTTATTTTGGTAAGGAAACAAAAAAAAAACTTTTTTTCATATTTAATATTTACTAATATAATCATAACAAAAGTCATTAAGTCGCGTGTACTTTAAGAATAAATAACAATCCCATCAAAAACAATACTTGTCAAAAAAACCAAGTCTCGCAACTCAGTTGTTCTACGGTAAAAAGTTGTGAGATCCATGTAATACCAAGTCCAGGCCAGGAAATCTTTAACGTTTTACATGAATATATTGACTTGGCCATCGCATGAAAACACGTGTAAATTAAATTATTTAGTGCGATGGCCAAGTCAATATATTTATGTAAAACGTTAAAGATTTCCTGGCCTGGACTTGGTATTACATGGATCTCACAACTTTTTACCGTAGAACAACTGAGTTGCGAGACTTGGTTTTTTTGACAAGTATTGTTTTTGATGGGATCTCATTTCTTTTTGTATTTTGTAGACAGCAGTTATGTATCTAGAAAACTGGACCGAAATTGAAAAATTTTACTCGACTTGGCGGTTGCACTACCGTGCCCCCAAATATTTTAGTTTTTCCTTGATTCATACACCAAACACTACTTATATTCCAAATTTGAAGCTTCTAGGTCTGCTAGAAGTGCCTTAGAGTTTTGATGATCGGTGAGTCAGTGAGTGAGTCAGTGAGTCAGTGAGTCAGTCAGTGAGTGACAAAATTAAGTAACTTTGACCCGTTATAATTCTTAAACTACTGGTTCAAATTGAATGAAATTTTAAATATACCGTGTCTTTACAATGCCTGCATAGCTAATGAAAATTCAGCCTTCTAGTTTTATCCACAACGAAGTTACAGGCGGTCGAAAATGGCCTGAATTGCTTCGAGAAAAGGATGGTACGGCCGTGCCGCTTTTTTGCTCGACTTGGTGGGGGCACTGCCGTGCCCCCAGATAAAAATCTGGAGCTACAAATGAATCACTTGTTTTCTAAAGAACACAAGTCCAAATAGCAAAATTACGATAAATAGTTTTTTTATGAACAAAAAAAAACTTTTTAATAAATTTTTAAATTTGTCACAGATAACGACTTGAATAAACTTTACGAGGAGGCACGAGTACCTAACCTAACGTCTGTTAGGTAAGGTAATTGTCTAGTTAACAAATTTTTCAGTCTTTAAATCAGTCAGAGTTAAACAAACAAATATCATACTCGTTGGTGAACATTATTACTTACTTTCGATTGAGATCATTACTTGCAAATCAAATCAGTTAAAAAAGGAAAGACTAGGCCAGTCTAAAAGCAACGTTGACCTATTAAATAATTAAAAACTTACTTTTGTCTAAGAAAATAGGCTTTCAAGAATATTAAAGCTTCAAAATCGAAACTCGAGAATTCTCGAGCTCCGGTAATTTTTTTCTCGTCTCGAATGAAGCCAAATTTCTCGAGTTTTCTCGAGTTCGAGAAAGCTCGAGCAGAAACCCTAAATCGTCCAGAAGGTAGAAGTGTTAAAGCAATGTGGACTGTATTACCCAGGACGCAAAGAAGTGTTGAAACAAATTGAAGTGTATTACCAGAGTAAATACAAATGAGTAGGTCATCTTCATAGAAACGCTCGAGCGCGGTTTGTATGGGAGCGCGCGCCAGTACGTATGCGGCGCGCACGCACATACTGACAAAATTTAGCGTGGATTACCAGTGAGGTGCGCTGAATTTTGTCAGTGTGTGCGTGCGCGCCGCATACGTGTTGGGTTGGCGCGCTCCCATACAAACCGCGCTCGGTGCGTTTCTATGAAGATGACCTACTCATGTGTATTTACTCTGGTATTACCAGGGCGCAGCGCAGATAGTGGCGCTGCTTGGTCTAGTGTCCATCCCAGAAATCTTCGAAATAGAAAAGGGCTAATCGTCCAGAAGGAAGAAGTGTTGAAGCAATTTGAAGTGTATTACCAGGGCGCAGCACAGATAGTGGCGCTGCTGGCGGCGCGCGTGCGGTACCCGGCGGCGCGGCTGGCGGACGCGTACGAGCTGCTGGGCGCCACGCAGCTGGACGAGTTCAACGACGTGGCCGCCGCGCTGGCCGCCTGGCGCCGCGCCACCGCCATCCGCCACGCCGGGCCCGTCTATGTGGAGAAGACGCCGGTGAGTAGTGTGTGTGTGTGTGTGTAAATGCTAGTGTTCAAGCTTTTTCGCACTATACTCGACGCAGACTCGTGGAAACAGATACGCACACTACACGAGTCTGCGCCGAGTAATTTTGTAGAGTAACTCGCTTTTAATAACTAAACTACACTACTGATTAAAAACACTCTATGCTAGAAGCTCTATAAATGTGGTGTTGGAGAAGAGCATACCCTGGATACAGTTCCGAACCAACACGTAACGCTAAATCATCAAAGAACCTTGTATTAAATAGCGTCTTTCTTCCATTGTCCAAAGTCGTATTCTCGCTTTCTTTGATCATATCACACGTGGAGATAACATTGATGTTAAATAACTTGTCGTGTAGGGGAAGTTTAAAGGCACTCTTGTGCCATGCGCTATTTGCCTGTCAAAATAGAACAAAATGGATTGGCTTGTCTAAAAAATTTAGTAACCTACTAGACTAAATTTTCGGTATTCGGACACGTTTACACCCTGACTGACTTTTGTGAATACGGATTTAGAACTTTTTCAATGGGACGACTTCTGAACCTCAGCGAGATTTTGACTGTCAAAATATGTGAATTAGGCCACGGAGCAACTAAATTACTCGCCATTCGACTATAGTCTGGTCTGCGAGCACGTACAATTTTGTCCAATGACCCCAAGATACCCATCCTTATCGCTCGCGCGTATTTCAATTGCTGTCGCGACTGTGCGACGCGCGCCCGCAGTGAGTGTGCGAGCCATTCATGGACCAGGCTTTACTAAATTACTCGTCATTTGGCGAGCACGTAGAATTTTGTCTAATGATCTCAAGCTACCAATCCTTATCGCTTGCGCGTAATTATGTTGCTGTCGCGCTCGCACACTCACTGCGGGCGCCGGTCGCACAGTCGCGACAGAAATATAATTACGCGTGAGCGATAAGGATGGGTTAGCTTGGGGTCATTGGACAAAATTGTACGTGCTCGCAGAGCAGGCTTTAGTGCAAACAAGGCTTAACACTGCACATCTCGCAGGTGCGGCCTTTACACCCGGCGCTGGGCGGCGCGGCGGAGTGGCGCACGCCGGGCGAGCTGGAGGCGGCGGCCACCGACATGGACGCGCTGCGCACGCAGGCGCTGCTCGTGTGCGCGCGCGTGCTCGGGCCCGCGCACAAGGACACCGTGCTGCGCCTCATGTACAGGTAGCGAGCGCACAGGGACGGCGGCCACCGACATGGACGCGCTGCGCACGCAGGCGCTGCTCGTGTGCGCGCGCGTGCTCGGGCCCGCGCACAAGGACACCGTGCTGCGCCTCATGTACAGGTAGCGAGCGCACAGGGACGGCGGCCACCGACATGGACGCGCTGCGCACGCAGGCGCTGCTCGTGTGCGCGCGCGTGCTCGGGCCCGCGCACAAGGACACCGTGCTGCGCCTCATGTACAGGTAGCGAGCGCACAGGGACACCGTGCTCCGCCTCATGTACAGGTGGGCGGGAATACTTCGGGACACACAAAGTAGCCAAAAAGGATGCAACACGTCTTTGTTGCAATTGGAATAAGGTTGTGTTGACGAATTATTTGACGCTGACTGTACACGAGCGAACTGCAGGTTTGCGGATGAGGAAACCTAACAAGAATCAAATTCTGTTTAATTGTTAACATTAAAAAAAGCAATGTTCAAAATCTAAATGTTTATTAGTATTTCGGGACTATTCCCACCTCTCGTTCCCACCACTGCAACTCCTGTGTAGTAACCAGGATAAAAACCCAACCAATGAGGGTCAAGTTTGTCCCGGGGGAAAGTTAAACTGTTATTGGACCCGCAACGAAATTAATCAAAAGTATCTTTATTAGTATGTAGGCCCTTTCTAAAAGATGTCAAGCAAAGATGGCGAGACATCGTAAGGTGAGCAATATCCGCCCACATAAATCCACACTCCTGACAACGACTCCAGTTAAAAGTGCAATGACTGAGAGGAAGACCCTTTCCAGGGCACTTAAGCACGTCCCAAACATAACTTGCCCTACTACCACTTCGGGACAACATGTGGGCTGGTGCTGAGAAGTGGCGGCAGAAACTGATTTTCTTTCTTTTGTTTTTGTTCAATACTAAAGCTACTTATCATAACGATTTCAGAGGAGCGTCATATGGTGACGCATTCCGCTATCAGCGTTGCATCGAGCTGTGGACGTGGGCGCTGGAAATCCGCATACAGAAAGACTCTTTGCTTTACACAGGTCAGTATTATTTTTCTTTTAGATAAATTATCTTCATTAACTTTCAACAAGTCTTTAGAAATCTTGAAAGAGGTAAATGTAGTGTCAACTCTTTATAACTTCACTCTATTTTACTAAAAGGTCGACAAAATAAAAGTCAAAGTTTTTTTTTACCTTATTTTCTATCCGCACTACCTTGTTTCTCCATTTAACGTCCACTCACTGATGTTACGAGTGTACATGGGCGACGACAATTGCTTACCATCAGGTAATTCGTCAGCTAGTCTGCCACCTATCACATAAAAAAAAACTTAGCGTCCAAAAAGGCTCAGTCCCTTAAGCGTCTTTAGAGACATTACTTGTTTTGTTTATTATACACGAGTGTTGTGACGGCCGCAGACACGTGCCACACGGCGTGCGCGCTGACGCGGCTGATGCTGGACGCGCGCGCCGGCCGCCTGGAGCGCGGCCGCGACCTGCCGCGACACCAGGACGTCGTCTCCGTCTTCCGCCTGCTCGCCGCCGACTTGCCCGGTCAGTCCCACTCAAATTAAATATCTGATCAAAAAGGAATTTCATTTCTTGTATTATTGAAGCAGCAAATCGAACGCACAGCGTTGAATAGAGCTCTGTGATTTGTTCGTATGTCACCCTGTGCGTCCACGCGCACTGGGAGACCTCAGTAATGTTTGTGAATACGGGCGTAAGTGCCATTTGCCCTATTGTCATTGTTTGTCCGAAGGCATTTTATGATATCATCCAAATATACGATACAAACAAAATAATTTATTATGTACTCTATTTTCCTGTAGCTCTACTGAGGCACAATTTGAAAGCCTAATCACATGTTTATAATCTAATTTGATACTAAAACATAGGACTTGAGATTATTAAACATAAATCTAAATTTACCACAGGTATCTGGCAATAACCCTGAACGAAGTTCATGGAATGAGGGTTTTCGCGATTTAAAAATCCGCCAGATGGCAATACGTAGACGCGAGGTTCAAATGCTGCATGATTGGTTATTTTTGACATGACATTGACAGATATGACAAAATCCACCAATCACGCAGCAAAACCCTCATTGTTATGATATTTTTTTGTTTCAGCCTGCCGCCGCGCGCTGGAGGTGCGGCCGGTGTTCAAGAAGCAGGCGGAGACGTTCGACCGCGCGCTGCGCTGCGTCACGCACCTCGTGTACCTGCTGCTCGACACGGCCGACACGCCTGAGGAACGCGAGGAGGTGAGCACACAGCGTCGGACCCCTGTGTTTGACTTACAGTAGGCGCACACCGTTGATTTTTACTTGGCCGATAGTTGTGCCCGATTTTCAACCGACTTCAAAAAAAGGAGGAGGTTCTCAATTCGACCCGTATGTTTTTTTTTTCTATGTTTGTTACGCGATAACTCCGCCAATTATGAACCGATTTGAACAAATCTTTTTTCGGCGTATAGGTAATACCTCAAGGGTGGTCCCATTTAAATTTAATAATAGAAAAAACAACCCCCAAGGGTGGAAAATTGGGGATGAACTTTTTTATACGCAATATCTCCGCCGATTATTAATCAATTTGAACGATTATTTTTTTGTTGAATAGGTATTATCAAAAGGGTGGTTTCATGCGAATTTGAAGAAAATATTTCACCCCCAAGGGTGGAAAATTGGGGATGAACTTTTTTATACGCAATATTTTTAATTTTTAGTTTTTTTTTGTGTTCACGCATTTGAAGTCGGTTTTATTTTTAAAAAAAGTTAATTATTAGTTGGCCGATAGTTGTGCCCGATTTTAAATTGTATGAAGAATCGGCCAAATCGAATCGGCGTAGTGTGCGCACTCCCATACATGCCTATACTGATCAACTGCCCGACTGAACTATCGGCCGACGAAAAATCAACGGTGTGCGCCTACTCTTACAACGGGTCTATTCTATATCTCGTTCTCACCGCTGCAACTCCTGTGTAGCTAGGATTGTACAGCTTTACCGTCAATAACTTGTTTCCACTGCTACGATTCCCGCGTAGCCAAGATCTACAATTTGACCGTCAATAGAAACTCAACCAGTTAAAATGTCATTTATCCCATAACAGAATTAATCAGCAGAACAAAGGGTAGTTCGAAGTTAAGCTTCGATTTCCCTCCAGTAGAAAGTGGGTGACAAAGGTTTTAGTAATCTTTTAAAAAAAGATACACCACGGACAATAAGCATCAGTTATGGGGACATATCCTGTGAGCTATTAGCTACCTTTTCCATGCGAAAAATGTTCCTTGTCGCGACAAGATCGGTGAAATCTTGTTCTATGTGATAAGTCCTGTTGTAACTCGTGCCTGTGAGCTATTAGCTACCTTTTTCCATGCGAAAAATGTTCCTTGTCGCGAGACGACCGGTGAAATCTTGTCTTGTGTTTGACTTGTGATCGAGCCCTGAGCCCCGATTACGGTAATTTTTAACGTCTCCAATCCAGACACGCTTCTCGATTCTGCGATACGATTGGTCGTTCAACAGCGTACGTCAACTGTTTTGACCGATCGTATCGCAGAATCGATGAAGCGCGTCTGGATTGGAAACGTTAAAAGTTACGGTAATCGGGCTATGTTGTAACCGCGTATATTCGCAGGTGGTGCGGCTGGTGCGCGCGCTGGTGGCGGCGGACGTGCGCAGCGCGCACACGGGCGACACGCTGCTGCACCTCAGCGTGTCGTGCCTCAACGTCATCCGCTCCACCTACTTCGCCGACGAGGTGCACGTGCCGGTCAGTACTGCCTTCACATTCTGTGCTTGTTCGGATTTCTTTTAAATATCTAGTACGGTAGTTTTACTGGATTAATATTCACATGCATGGATCCAGAAACCGGTTTTTTGACTGATTTATGTTACTACTAACCTAGATTTTAATTATTATACAGGGTGTTACTTTGCATTCTTGCCATATTTACAGNGTAATACCTCAAGGGTGGTCCCATTTAAATTTAATAATAGAAAAAACAACCCCCAAGGGTGGAAAATTGGGGATGAACTTTTTTATACGCAATATCTCCGCCGATTATTAATCAATTTGAACGATTATTTTTTTGTTGAATAGGTATTATCAAAAGGGTGGTTTCATGCGAATTTGAAGAAAATATTTCACCCCCAAGGGTGGAAAATTGGGGATGAACTTTTTTATACGCAATATTTTTAATTTTTAGTTTTTTTTGTGTTCACGCATTTGAAGTCAGTTTTATTTAAAAAAAAAGTTAATTATTAGTTGGCCGATATTTGTGCCCGATTTTAAATTGTATGAAGAATCGGCCAAATCGAATCGGCGTAGTGTGCGCGCTCCCATACATGCCCATACTGATCAACTGCCCGGCTGAACTATCGGCCGACGAAAAATCAACGGTGTGCGCCTACTCTTACACGGGTCTATTCCTATATCTCGTTCTCACCGCTGCAACTCCTGTGTAGCCAGGATTGTACAGTTTTACCGTAAATAACTTGTTTCCACTGCTGCAATTCCTGTGTAGCCAGGATTGTAACCAATATCTACAGTTTGCCGTCAATAAAAACCCAACCAGTGAAGGTCTAGTTTGTCCCAGGGAAAAGTTAAAATGTCATTGATCCCGTAACTAAATTAATCAGCAGAACAAAAGAGAGTTCGTTGTTAAGTAATCGTATTCATTTGACAGTTCAAAATGTACGATAAAATTTGTTTAACAAAGCTTTTGACAGAATAGAGCGTACGTTTTGAACTGTCAAATCAATACGATTGCTTTACACAATAAGGGCTATCGTTTTTATACTTAACAGTTGGCACCCCTGGCGATTGACAGGACCTTACTCTACAGTGGTGCCATCTTGATGAGTGCAAATGCGATAGTCCTCCTACCACTTTAGCGCTCACCAGTCGGCGCCACTGTCTTCGCTACTAGCAAGTGACAGGACCTTACTCTACAGTGATGCCAACTGGTGAGCGCTAAAACGATAGCCCTTATTGCACCTCAGTTATGGGGACGGAAGATAGGTTCCTGTGAGCAATTAACTACCTTTTCCATGCGAAAAATGTTCCTTGTCGCGACAAGATCGGTGAAATCTTGTCCTATGTGATAAGTCCTGTTGTAACTCGTGCCTGTGAGCTATTAGCTACCTTTTTTCATGTGAAAAATGTTCCTTGTCGCGAGACGACCGGTGAAATCTTGTCTTGTGTTTGACTTGTGATCGAGCCCTGAGCCCCGATTACGGTAATTTTTAACGTCTCCAATCCAGACGCTTCTCGATTCTGCGATACGATTGGTCGTTCAACAGCGTACGTCAACTGTTTTGACCAATCGTATCGCAGAATCGATGAAGCGCGTCTGGATTGGAAACGTTAAAAGTTACCGTAATCGGGGCTCTGTTGTAACTCTTGTATATTCGCAGGTGGTGCGGCTGGTGCGCGCGCTGGTGGCGGCGGACGTGCGCAGCGCGCACACGGGCGACACGCTGCTGCACCTCAGCGTGTCGTGCCTCAACGTCATCCGCTCCACCTACTTCGCCGACGAGGTGCACGTGCCGGTCAGTTCCTTCACATTCTGTTTACCTTTTAACTTCATCATCATCACTTGTGCTTGTTCGGATTTCTTTAAAATATCTATAGTCTGGTCGCTGAGCACGTAGAATTTTGTCCAATGACCCCAAGCTATCTATCCTTATCGCTCACGCGTAATTATATTGCTGCGCGACTGTGCGACGAGCGCCCGCAGTGAGTGTGCGAGCGCGAAAGCAATATAACTACGCGCGTAGTTTTACTATAGCAAGGTACTGGAGTGTAGGTCACATATAGGCCAGTAGAATTAAACACAAAAATGAATTAAATCGGAAATAATTCCTACTAAAGATTTTAGTGCTTTAATGGCTTCATTAGTTGCCCATAAAGACTCTCCTAGGTTTTCGACTTCGACGGAGTTGTGCTTAAGTGGTGGGGGCCCCCGAAAGGGGCGCTTTTTCGGTTTTCCGGTTATACCGCGTAAAGGACTTACCCTATCNAACACAATTTATGAGTAGAAATAGAGTTAGGACGCGCCACCGCTATTAGATTTTGGGTCTTTGAAATTTTTTTTAGTACATAAAATAACTACCTATTGTCCTGAATACTTTGCTATCGTGTAAAACGCTGTATAAACTATATACAGAAAAAAAATCATCGCTCTAGTTACATTTCTCCCATCGATTCTCAGCTCCGCCGCGTAAAAAACGTGTTTGGGATATTCACCCTGGTCCGCGGACCACTGGTGGTCCCTGGAGGCATTCCAAGTGGTCCACGAAGTGCACTTGCACACCTTGGTTAAAACCACTTTTAACTGAGTTTTGCAGGCAAACTGGTTTTGACCGATCATGAGGTGGTCCCTGACAAGACAGACATTTAGTAAAATGGTCCCTCATGACTTAAAGGTTAAGAACCACTGCTCTAGTAGAATGTTACTTAGAAGTCTTTAGGGCTGCATTGTCTAGTAGTATTTTAGTCTGGCCTAATTATTACTGTCCCTTTCTCTCCTAGTTCCGCATATCGCCCCGTATGCTTCTCCTCGACTGCTCCAAGCTGCAACTCGGCCGAGGTCGGCGGGACGATTCCGTGGCGGCGTTCCGGCGGCGGCTCGAAGTGTTCCGGGAACACAGCCTGCCCATGCTGCGGGCGCTGGACCAGATGCACCGCCTCGTTATAGTGAGTAGACAGTCTGTAAGTGTGCTTCTTTCTTTTTATTAGTTCTTTTAGTTCAAATTGCTAGGAATAGGTAACTTCTGGGCAAGCTCGCTTCAACATAGATCGAATCTGTAGTCCGCACCCCCTGGGTGAGATTGTTATCAAGAGCAAGCCTTCAATATGGAAAAAAAATAGTTTTTGGACCTTAAGACAAGGTCAGTAAAGTTTAAAATAATGTATATTACCGTACACTGGTTGAGGATTACCACGATATGTAGGTACGCGAGAATAAAAGTGCAGCTGCCAAAGTGTAACCTATTTAAGAAATCTCAGGAGTACCTATATTTTATAGAGATAGGTTTACTTAAGAGGGTAGACTTACATTCGACTTCGATTCAAGATCTTGAATACTTTGCCTCACTGTCTAGTTAGAGGAATATAAGATACTCTATAATTACTACTCTACTGTCTTTACTTTACAAAAACACAATAATAATTCCTCAAAATGACAAAATGTTATCTCGTTATTAAATTGAGATATTTATTTTATCTTTTAAATTGTTTTTTTTTTCTAAACATGATTTTATTTTTTAAATTTCTTTGCTCTTTGTCCTTATTTATAAAAACACGCATGGCATGTTTCCTGTTAAGTTTATGATGTTAGATAGCATAAATTATGTATCTAATTGGGCACACACATAAAAATCTAGCTAAAGGAAATTATACAAATCACGCAAACAACACTAAATGATCAATCATATCACAAACACTGCATTACTACTACTTATCTCAGTAGTCAGATATTAACCATCGACTTCCCTTTCATTTTAACTTCGAACTCCTCCTACGTTTTTCATATTAAATACGTTGCGGGTCCAATGACAGTATAACTGTCCCCCGGGACAAACTTGACCTTCACTGGTTGGGTTTTTATTGGCGGTCAAGCTGTAGATCCTGACTACACAGGAGTTGCAGCGGTGGGAACGAGAAGTGGGAAAAGCCCGTTCCCTTTCATTTTCAATGAATCCATTCAAGGTGGACGGTGACTCCGACGCGGCTGAAGTGCAGACGGAGTTCTCCCGTATCATGCTGGAAGAGCTGGAGAAGGCTGAGGCGATCGCCGCGATGCCGCCCACGCCTCAGCCGCCCAGCTCGCAGCCGCCCACGCCGCCTAGAGCTGGTAAGATGATAATAGATAGTCTGGTCTGTGAGCACGTAGAATTTTGTCCAATGACCCCAAGCTACTCATCCTTATCGCTCGCACGTAATTATGTTGCTCTCGCGCTCGCACACTCACTGCGGGCGCCCGTCGCACAGTTGCGACAGCAATATAATTACGCGAGCGATAAGGATGGGTAGCTTGGGGTCAATGGACCAAATTCTACGTGCTCACAGACCGGGCTTTAGATAATGTTACATGCCGTTAATGCAACAGATGATGACCTCGGAAGGCTGCTGTTTAATGAAGAAAAACTTGTACGAGATTAACACACAAACTTTAAACAGTACTTCGAACAAAAAATTTAAAACATCGGAACTTGTACTAACTTACAGCTTCCTGAAATGCTTTCTTCTTTTTGTACCAATTGCATTATGATTTCAGCCTAAAGTACGTACCTACGTACATACGTAGGTACTGTGCCTGCTGAAGCCTAAGTTTTAATTCTTCATATTTTACTCTTTAATTGTATCTAAAAACCATGTAATTCTTCAATACTTCTTCTAAAATGTTAACTTTTGTTATATTTAAATATCGTATTTATTACAAATCTTGCTCTATGGTGTTTATTTACTTCTCAATTGAAACTTGTATCTTTACAACTTCAAATGACAACTTACTAACCTTATCTTCTAGATGTATCAGCGATACAGCAGTTCGCACACGCCGTGTCCCGCATGGGTGGCGGGCTCGCCAACGGGTTCGCCAACGGGACGGTCCGCAACGGGACAGTCCGGAACGGGACACTGCCCAACGGGTCCTTACCCAACGGGTCCTTACCCAACGGGACCATGGCCAATGGGATCGCAGGAGTAGTCAATAATAAGGTATAAAATGTCATCATCATTTCAGCCAGTCCACTGCTGGACATTAAGCTTTCCACAAACCACGATCTATCTTCTAGAGATCGTCGGTCCACTACAGAAGGTGGGCATCTAAGCAAGCTGCCTAATATTGACAAATCTTTTAGGATTTAAGCCTATCTTCAAAATTATAGTATGAATCTTAGGGGTCATCCATAAAGTACGTCACGCGTAAAGAGGGGGGGAGGGGGTTGACAAAGTGTGACATGGTGTGACAAGGGGTGGGAGGGGTCCTAAGTTTTGTGACATCACATTTCAATTGTTTCAAATTTTTGATATAATGTTGATTTCATAAAAAAAAGTGCTTAAATTAAATGGAAATAAAACTAATTTCGGAACTGCTGTTAATTTAATAATTTTTCGATGTGGAATTGCAAAACATGTGACGTCACACTAGGGAGGGGGGGGTCTCAGAAATGTGACCACTGGTCTTCCTGACGGTTGAAGGGAATTTAATCCTGCATTAAATAAGACCAAATTCATATGTTTTGAACAAACCGTTCTCGTGCAAATGTTCGGCAAAGTAGAAAATATGTGTATAATTAATTACCCTCTCCATGTCCAATGGCTCGTTACCCACAGGCTTCCAAGTCTTGAAAAGGAGCGCCTCAACCAGTGTAACCCTATCAAGGCTTCCGAGCTGGATGCGCCTATCCTTGTTCGTCCCAGCCGTTCCTTAACTGCGGTTGCTGCACCTCTTCCTGGCACTCACCTGAACGACTCTGTGTTACCTACTGTGGCTGCCCCTCTTCCTTGTATCCTCCTGCACGACTACGTTGCCTAGCCGTATGCCTGGTCTAAGGTTCGACGCCAAAAATCAACAACAATAAGTTCATATTAAAACGCTGAAGAGTTTTTTGTTTGTTTGTTTGAACGCGCTAATCTCAAGAATTACCAATTTGATTGAAATAATTATTTTTGTGTTGAATAGCTCATAAATTGAAGAAGGCTACAGGATATATACAATCACTCTACGACTAATAGAGGCGAAGCAGTAAAGAAAAATGTTGCAAGCACGGAAAATAGTCTTTAAACTATTTTCACGCATACGAAGTTGATTTTGTGGCGTCGAACCTTAGACCAGGCATACGGCTAGGCAACGTAGTCGTGCAGGAGGATACAAGGAAGAGGAGCAGCCACATTAGGTAACACAGAGTCGTTCAGGAGAGTGCCAGGAAGAGGTGCAGCAACCGCAGTTAAGGAACGGCTGGAACGAACAAGGATAAGCGAATCCAACTCGTGAGCCTAGACAGGGATACGCTGGTTAAGGCGACCCTTTACAGGGCTTGGGAGCCTACGGGTGACGAGCTATTGGACGTGGAGAGGGTCATTAATTATACACATATTTTCTACTTTGCCGAACATTTGCACGAGAACGGTTTGTCCAAAACATATGAATTTGGTCTTATTTAATGCAGGATTAAATGCCCTTCAACCGTCAGGAAGACCACTTTTCGATAGGTTAAGTCCTTTACGCGATATAATCGGAAAACCGTAAAAGCGCCCCTTTCGGGGGCCCCCACCACTTAAGCACAACTCCGTCGAAGTCGAAAACCTAGGAGACTCTTAATGGGCAACCAATGAAGACATTAAAGCAATAAAATCTTTTGTAGGAATTATTTCCGATTTAAAAGCTAATTCTACTGGACTAATACTGGAAAACGCAGCGTGAGGATGTCACCCACAAGGTGGACAGAAATCAGGTGACCTCATAAAGGTAGCAGGAAGACGTTGAATGTAGGCCATTACCAACCAGTCAATCTGGAAATCATTGGGAGAGGCTGTTTAGCAGTGGACGACCTGTGGTCGAAATGATGATATTGACTGTAATTTCGACGATTATCTCACTGCACCGCGCTCCGCCGCGGTCTGCGTGGCTATAAAGAATCCCGCGCGCAGACGCGTTGTCAGTGTGTTGTGCCGCGCGTGTTTTCTATACAAACTGATATACTTATACTTGCATACAATGATTAAATCTGTCGTCCCACGTACCGCGGCGGAGCGTGGTGCAGTGTGATAATCGCCTTAGACAGTGGTTAAAATAACTTAAACTAAATTTTAACTTAAAAATCTAACTGCCTAAGGTGGGAATCGAACCCATGCTTAGGCACTTCGATTTTTTCAAGTTGTTTTAATAATTTCAAGTCGTTAAATTTATTTTACTCTTCTGGAAGAGTTCTTACATCTAAGACGTTTTGTTTGTCCTTGTAGCCGATCTTCCCCTCCGTAGCCGTGGTCCGGCTGCTCCTGCAATGCGGCGCGGGCGTGGGCACGCGCAACGAGGCGCGCTCGACGGCGCTGCACGTGGCGGCCATCCCGTACAACTTCTCCAGCGAGCTGGTGGGCGCGCTGCTGGCCGGCGGCGCGCACATCGACCAGCCCAACAAGTTCGGCGACCTGCCCGCCGAGCTCGTCGCGCTCAACCGCGGGAACAAAGTCAAGGTGCGTATACCACAGTAAAGGCAGAGTGAATACAAATTCAGCGCACCTCATCGCTAATCCACAAACACTCAGGGAACAATGAGGGCTATCGTTTTTATACTTAACAGTTGGCACCCCTGGCGATTGACAGGACCTTACTCTACAGTGGCGCCATCTTGATGAGTGCAAATTCGATAGTCCTCCTACCACTTTAGCGCCCACCAGTTGATGCTACTGTCTTCGCTACTAGCAAGTGACAGGACCTTACTCTACAGTGGCGCTAACTGGTGAGCGCTAAAACGATAGCCCTCATTGATATATTAAATTTTTCTATGCGTGTTTTTACTTCACATGTTAAGAAGATTGACCACGTTTAAGTGGGATTATCTTGTTTCTGATGAACGAAATTACCTAGTTAAATTACTACGAAACTTTTTATAATATGTCTTCGCTATTGACAAATTAACATTGGAAACTTTTTTGGCTTATGAATAAACTAAACTTTTCCTGTACCTATATGTAATATAAAAGCTGTATGTTTCTTTCATTAAATAAATAAATAAATAATCCACGCCAAATTTTGTCAGTGTGTGCGTGCGCGCCGCATACGTATTAGCGCGCTCACATACAAGCCGCGCTCGGGCGTTTCTATGAAGATGACCTACTCATTTGTATTTACTCTGATAAAGGTTTTAACCACCACGACGTCTTGTCACGTTAACATGGGACAAAACCATGGTGGATATTAGTGCCGATCACGTTGCCTATTGTGGTGTATAAGACAAGTTTCATCTACCACGTTGAGGTTTTATTTTGCTATGGTGAATAAACAGAGCAATATAAATAACGAAATATGGATGAAGCACGAGATATTTTGTGATTATTTTTCTCGGGTCAACCAAGAAGAATTCGAAATGGTTCTTTCATGGTTATGTTACCCTGGTACTTTTATTTACCGTAGTAAACTAAAAATGTGAAACTTTGTCCCATACATTACATTAGGCAACGTGATTTGAACTAACAATAAGCTAATAAAATTTTTTTAGTCCGTCAATTTTGATATAAAAAATATTGGACACGTATTTATTGAATTGTCAGTCAAACAAATAATTACAAAGTTATAGTGCGTTGAAGTTCCGCACGACGTCACAAAGTGCTGCACTTTTACGCACTCACTGACGTCACGGGCCTTTTCTTTAGAACTTTGGTACGCTTTATCTCTTTACATTTTCATTAGTTTTAAAAAGTGAAAAATACGTGTCGAGTAGTTTTTGATAAGCTAACTGACGGACTAATTCTTGCTTTTTTACCCAGGAAACATCCCTATTTCGTACCAACTGCCACATTAACGTAGCAAGGCAACGTCGTAGTTGGGAGTTTTTCTCTCAGTTCACTTCCAGCGCGCTAACTGTCGTCCATGTCCTCAGGTATTGCAGCACATGACACTAGCCTGCGTGGCGGCGCGCGCGCTGCTGGCGAGCGGCCGGCCCGTACCACGCTCAGCGCTGCCGCGCACGCTGCACGACTTCCTCGACCTGCACCGGCCTTAGGCCACGCCCACGGACCACGACGCGTCCGCCACCTCTAGCTAGGGTTGCCAGGCGTCCGGATAAAGCCGGACATAGTTAGGCTTTTCAACCGACTTCAAAAAAGGAGGAGGTTCTCAATTCGACCCGTATGTTTTTTTTTTTTTCTATGTTTGTTACGCGATAACTCCGCCAATTATGGACCGATTTGAACAAATCTTTTTTCGGTAATACCTCAAGGGTGGTCCCATTTACATTTAATAATAGAAAAAACAACCCCCAAGGATGGAAAATTGGGGATGAACTTTTTTATACGCAATATCTCCGCCGATTATAAATCAATTTGAAGTATTATTTTTTTGTTGAATAGGTATTATCAAAAGGGTGGTTTCATGCGAATTTGAAGAAAATATTTCACCCCCAAGGGTGGAAAATTGGGGATGAACTTTTTTATACGCAATATTTTTAATTTTTAGTTTTAATTGTGTTCACGCATTTGAAGTCGGTTTTATTTTTTTTTAAAGTTGTTGATTGCGTATCCGGCCAAAATAACCGATGTCCGGCTTTTTATTTGGCTGCCGCGCCAGGCGAAAGTCCCTGTGTCGAGCCACAGAACACTGTGGCTCGAGGACGTTAGGCATGTCCGGCTTTTAGGCTAAAATGTCCGGCCAAATGAAGCACATAGTCCGGCTTTTGTGTTTTTGGACCTGGCAACCCTACCTCTAGCGATCTGCGTGCTCGCCATACCATGAGTTTACGTTAAGCCTAAAGTCTGTTCGCCGAGAGTTGATAAAAAAAATTATCAGAGGTTCTAAACTCATTATAAATTGCGGCCCGCTAAATATTTTTGTCGATATAATGAAAAAGTTGGTAGGTTATTAGATTTCGCACTACTAAATCATCGTTCTCTTTGCCTCAAATCTACCAAAAAAGTAGAAATCTACTAAAAGTGGTCACGCTGTGGCCGCCGCCGCCCGCCGGCCCACGGTGATCAATAATGAGATATTAGGTGGATAATATTCAAATTTGACATTGTGAGGGTAGTTAAAACAAATCATCGCGATGTGATTGGGGGTACCTCCCTCATATTCTTGTTGAATATGAACGTTTAAAGGTAAGTCATTACTGAGATACCAGCTTGTAAATGCAGTGCTCTCGCTAATTTGTACTGATTTGTTCTATTTACTTCCTGTTTTCGCGCACAGTTATCCGTTTGGTTTGACTTATACAGTGCATTATTGCGTATTATGAAATATGGTGTACATTAATGAAGGTATATACTTCATTTTCTATAACACTTAGTAACTGTTAATTGTTATAGTAATTTGGAAAAAATATTCAAAACTTAGCTTAAAATTTTAGGTATTTTATTTTATTTTAAAGCCTGTATCTTACAAGGAACATATTAGAACATGAAAATTTTGGTACTGGTAGATAGCTGGAAGTCTGTATTATGGTATTCAATAAAAATTTTTACCCCAAACTACCCCTGCCTGAACAAACTTTTCATTTTTGCAGGAAACGAAAGTACAGTTAGAAATTCAGATTTATTTAAAAACCTCAAAAAACTTCCTCCAATTAAACCTGCAACTAAGCAATCTAAAGATATATTATTAAATTATGTCTATGAGGTCNAAACAAAGTTAGGTCGATGGCCGCGCGAAAAAAAAAAGACGCCACCTTCCATACAAAATCTGGCATTGCCATTTCTTTTACTCTTCTGGAAGAGTTCTTACATCTAAGACGTTTTGTTTCCCCGCAGCCGATCTTCCCCTCCGTAGCAGTGGTCCGGCTGCTCCTGCAGTGCGGCGCGGGCGTGGGCACGCGCAACGAGGCGCGCTCGACGGCGCTGCACGTGGCGGCCATCCCGTACAACTTCTCCAGCGAGCTGGTGGGCGCGCTGCTGGCCGGCGGCGCGCACATCGACCAGCCCAACAAGTTCGGCGACCTGCCCGCCGAGCTCGTCGCGCTCAACCGCGGGAACAAAGTCAAGGTGCGACACACTACACACGCCTTGTTAATACGTTCCCACAGCGTACTGAATTGTTCCTACTAGTTGAGTGGCGAGTAACGAGTAATTTAGTAAATAAACGTGTCTGAATAAAATAAAAAAATCGAGTAGGTAACTAATACCCGTTTTCACCATCAATCCCCAATTTTTAAGTGACCCTTATTTAATCAAAATTCCTGTTATGTGTTACCACCGAGGTCACTTAAAAGTTAGGCATTGATGGTGAAAACGGGCTTAAATCTTTTAGTCGAGCCAATCCATTTTGTTCTATTTTGATAGGCGTGTAGCATCTCTGCTCACCAACTAAGCGAGTCCTTACCGGGCATTTTAGTAGTTCATATGAAAAAACACTCATCACTTGTAAACTGTACTCGACTAAAAGCGAGTAAATGCGCAAGTCCGTCGTCGACTTCACACAGCACAAATCACGTGTCGCCGTGACACACTACTTCTACCTTTACTCTACCTACAGTCTACCAAATTACTCGACTAGTACTATTGAAGCTTAACTGTCATCCTTGTCCTCAGGTATTGCAGCACATGACACTAGCCTGCGTGGCGGCGCGCGCGCTGCTGGCGAGCGGCCGGCCCGTACCACGCTCAGCGCTGCCGCGCACGCTGCACGACTTCCTCGACCTGCACCGGCCCTAGGCCACGCCCACGGACCACGACGCGTCCGCCACCTCTAGCTAGGGTTGCCAGGCGTCCGGATAAAGCCGGACATAGTTAGGCATTTTGATTGCGTGTCCGGCCAAAATAACCGATGTCCGGCTTTTTATTTGGCTGCCGCGCCAGGCGAAAGTCCCTGTGTCGAGCCACAGAACACTGTGGCTCGAGAACGTTAGGCATGTCCGGCTTTTAGGCTAAAATGTCCGGCCAAATGAAGCACATAGTCCGGCTTTTGTGTTTTTGGACCTGGCAACCCTACCTCTAGCGATCTGCGTGCTCATCATACCATGAGTTTACGTTAAGCCTAAAGTCTGTTCGCCGAGAGTTGATAAAAAAAATTCAATATCAGAGGTTCTAAACTCATTACAGGGTGATTTTTGTATCAGTATCCAAATTTTCAGGATCGACTCAGAATCAGTAACTTAATTGATTTACGTAAAGAAAACAAAACTTTTTTCTCCATATTTAATTATTTTCATCCGCTGCGCGCGGTTTCCAAATTGACTCACGTGGAAAATTTGCTTCGTTCATGGAAAAATACGTACACACAGTTAACTGCAAAGCTTAATAGACATAATGGTGAGCGAAAATAAGCAATAACCTTTAAAACTTAAGATATGGGCACCCGCGGATTAGACTTTCAATATTTTATTTTGCGAAAAATACCACAATTAAAAATAATTACGATAAAGTTGTATTGTCAAATTGTTCTAACGAGCTTATTAAAAAAAATTTGATACTGATAACAAAGTCACCCTGTATAAATTGCGGCCCGCTAAATATTTTTGTCGATATAATGAAAAAGTTGATAGATTATTTGGCCAGGCCTTTTTTTGGCCTGGATTCTCGGCTCGGTTACAATTTAATGTTGGACTATCGTTTATAAGAATGTTCTAAAAATACCAATTATCTACCAAAATCTACTAAACGCTTTCGCACTACTAAATCATCGTTCTCTTTGCCTCAAATCTACCAAAAAAGTAGAAATCTACTAAAAGTGGTCACGCTGTGGCCGCCACCGCCCGCCGGCCGGGGCGCTTGACGACAGCTGCGTGGCTCGTACCATGGTACTCAGTGCGCGTTGTGATAAACGACGCCCGCCATACAGAATGCGATAATTAAGCGACAGTCGCTATTGCAAGACATTTCATAATATTTATCAACTCTCGGCGAACAGACTTTAGGCGCAGACCACCCACTTCCTGTCGACCGATAGTTGGGTTGGTCGTTAATCAGTATGGACATGTATGAAAGTGCGCACATTACACCGATTTAGTATCGGCCGATTCTTCATACAAATTAGACTCGGGCCCAACTATCGACCAACTAAAAGTCGGTCTGCGCCTAGGCTTAGGCCCGTATTCACGAACATCACTATGAGGTCTCACAGGGCGCGTGGACGCACAGGGTCACAAACAAACCAATCACAGAGCTCTATTCGACGCTGTGCGTTCGATTTGCTGCTTCACTTAGCAAGCATCGTTTGTAAATACGGGAGTATGCTCGCTAGCTACTGCGTAAAATATTACATTAAATGTATGATAGATTGTACAGCGCCCCTAGCGGCTACTTTCAAGAACTAAAATCTTCATAGAATGTTTTGAAGGCTAGCGAGTACACCTAACGTAAACTCATAGTAGGCACACTAGTACAGTCAGTGTCGAAAAGTTCGTGACACCTAGTGACCAAAAAATTGATAACGCAACCTTATTCCAATTGTAACAAAGTGTTGCAAACTTGGGGGTGTCACGAACAATTTGACGCTGAACTGTATTAAAAAATTTCCACACTGGATGCCTTCTGAAATCCGCCGTCAGGTCCAAGTGTACAAAGCCCTCACCATGTTTGAATACCAGCCAGCCCGTAGAACGCTTCCAGTGTTACAAATCCTTTAAAATTATTTAACTCTATGCATGTGTATAATCGTTTAAAGATGTCCACCAGTGTCAGCCCGGCTGAGTTCCAAATAGACCCTGCTTGTTGTGAAGCGACGTGCGGAAGTTAGCAATATTTTAGTAAAAAGTAAATTGAAAATGCTATGACAGTTACTTTATCACTTTCGAAAAAACATTTTAACGCATAGATCAATTCTATCCCTCTCTCTCATGTGAGGATCCCAGCGGAAGTGAGAGTTATCGTGTGGATATCTAACACACAAATATTTTTAGACTGGCGTATTTATATTAATTAATACCAAGTGTTATACGTAGATAACTGTAGATTTTTAAATAAAAAGAATAAACACAATATCAGATAATACGAATTTACATATAAACGCTATTATTGAATCTAGATGTGCAATACCAATTTATCATTGGACGCTCTCTCATTGTGATTCTTTAAAAATTTAAAGTATTCAAAGCCTACTTACTTTATTTATAATTAAACTGTAGTTTTAGTTCCTCTCGAAATTGTGATATTTTCTGTTTACATTCACGGACGTCAAATTCCGCGATTTGAACAAATTTTTGTACCTAGTGAATTGTTTTTACGACTGTCATTTGCTTTAAATTTATAGTACACTTTAAATTGTATAAAAATAAGTTACAAGATACTATGTATTTTAGACGATATGATAGGACTTAACATGACTGTAAAAGTACGCTCATAACTGTAATCTCATAGTTATAATTATAATAATATAATCAATGTAAATTTAATTAAACACAAGTACATAAATTTTATCTTTTATTTACGTACCTTTTATATACAAAAAATAGTTGCCTTAAAATAAATAACTAAAACATTCAAAAACAAAGAGATCTTCTATTTTACAATATAAGACGACTTGCAGCGAGTATTGTGGTATGCAATTTGTATAGTTATTTCGTATAGCTGGTAGATTATATTTAAAGCAGTGCATAGGATTATTTTGAGGTTAAAATGTTTCAGTCTGTCATTTGAGATTCATACATATTGTTATTGGAAAAATAAATTGTAGGTATAAGTGTTGTAAAGAAGTATCATAATTTCAAAAATTATGACAAAAGTATAGAAATGAAAATAGTATAATTTGAGCATTGTACAGTAGTGATGTGTGTGACACAGTCTTAAAAATAACTTATGTTAAGCACAGTCTGGAATGACCTAAAATGGACGGAAAAGTTTCCAGGACATTGGAATGTGTTGCGGATGGAACGGCAGTCACTACTTAGTAGTTTTTTTTATGCATACATTTTTCTTGAGTCAATTTAAAAAAATGATTTGATTTAAAGTTTTAACTCTCAGCTAAATGCATCGTAGTGGCAGTAAAAAGTCAAATGTATAAATTGAAATATGATCTATAAAATTATTTTTCGTTCTACTTAGCTTAGTATAAAATTATGTACTTTAAGTACGTCATCATCACATTTAAAATTGATGCTAGCAAAGTTTGTTTCTGTTCTTCGATTTTTTTACTGATAAGTCGTGTAGACTTTGCCTATGAACACATAGGGGTGGAACATTACGCCTCGGTTCCCTTAATAGAATTATGTTTCGCCTACGAATCGGGTATTGACACCATTCACCAATAATTCTAAAGTAATTTTTTTTTAAAACATTCTAGTCTCAAAAGCTCAATTAATTTATAATCAACTGTAAATTAAGATTTTTTGGTTGATTGATAATAAGTTAGTCAATGAGGGTTTTCGCTATTGAAAAATCCGCCAGATGGCAATACGTAGACGCGAGGTCCAAATGCTGCATGATTGGTTATTTTTGACATGACATTGACAGATATAATAATATGTCAAAATCCACAGTTGGCGAGTTGGAAAAATAGTGACGCAATCGGCTTGTATCGCCCTACAAAAAGAGTCTCGTTTTGACAGTTCATGACAAGTACGTCAATTGATCGGTGTCAAATACCTTCTTCCCACACTCGAGAGATGTTGACGTCACGTCGCTAGTGCAGCCGCCACAGCGTGACGGCGGCGGCGGCGAGCACCAACATAATGGATATATCCAACGGGAGCGCTCGTTGTACGGACGAGGCGGGCCGGCGCGCCAGGTTGCGGCGGTGGCGGTCCACCACGAAGATGCGCCCGCCCATGCCTGCCAACGTTTCAAATATTAAATGTTGTCAAAGTCCTCTGCACACCCTGTATAGTGGAGGCTGCAGCGAGACTCGAGGAAGAAGATACTCCAAACAATGTGACAGTCATCGCCACTCACCAGTGATTATTCCATTTATGGATAATCATAAATGTCATAAGTGCCACTTGTGGTCTAAACTGAATAAATATTTTTTTATTTTGATACAACTTCCCATTAAGTTCATAGCATTCATGGGGATTAGTAAAAGTAAAGTTTACAATTACTCCATTGATGGAGTGAGTCAATGAGTACAATGTAATAAATCATCTCAAATTATTTGTCAAAATGTGGTTGACACCAATAGCACAGAATAATAATAAGTACTACGTACAGAAGTTTTACTTCGCGAAGGTATTTAAAAAAATGTATGCTTAATGTCATTAACAATATTTATTTATTTATTTATTTATATAATTCACTGTGGACTTACAGTTTTACCCAAGACGTCCATCAGCGGCAGAAGTACAGATTACACGATTTACATAAATAGGTGCTTAAATACTATGGTGTAATTTAGCCTGTCTCAAGAGTCAAGCACCATTTTGTTGACAAACGTCAGTGATCGGCACTGCGCCGAAGCTATAGGGCTACTTCGGTAAAATGATGTAACGTGAGGTGCCAAACTGCGGAAAATGGCGGAGGAAATACATGATTTAGCATGAATTATCATGAATAATATTAACTACTTATTTACCTCTCAGTGTCTTGAGGCAACTTAAAAAAGTACATTCTGTGTTTTTATTATTATTTAGGCAGTTAAATACTGCACAGTATTTAGTACACCATTTTCTTTATTTTGTTTCATCATACACAAGAATACGCGTGCGTGAGTCAATGTTCGCTCGTATGTGAGGCCTTGTCGAATAGTGTCCTGTAGGTGGGCCATCGTGCATGTTTTGTTTTCGATGTAAACTCGCGGAGATGAACAGGCCTGGTTGTACTATCGGCAACAGTGTTAACTGCCCATTGCCAGTCATGTCATCTCGTTCTATCGAAAAGAATCACCATTTGATGAGAGCGAGAGCAAAAACGGAAATGGATAGTTAACAGTGTGGTCGTGTGTACAACTTTTGATACGTTTATGCCGCTTGAGCCCTTAGAGCAGTGGTTCTTAACCGGTGGTCCGCGGACCACTGGTGGTCCCTGGAGGCATTCCAAGTGGTCCGCGAAGACATCGTAAGAAACAAGTGACGTGACGTAATGAGCCGAGTCAACACAACGCAAACGGCGCACAGTGGACGAGAAATCGACCTCCCCTTTCATAGGATTTTGAAAAAAAAAGTGGTCCCAGGTGGTCCCTGACAAGACAGGGTAAAATGGTTCCTCGTGACTTAAAGGTTAAGAACCACTCCCTTAGAGTCCGGTACTGACCCGCGTGCGTGAAGGAGTTGTAATAGACGATGTCGGGCCAAGACGAGTTGGGCGCGACCAGTAGTTCGGCGGGCGCGGCGGGCGGGCAGTCCCACTGCAGCGAGCGGTTGAAGGCGCGGAAGGTGGCGTAGTCCGCGTCACGCCGCCGGTCCGCGCCCGCCGCGTGCCGCCCGATGCACAGCGGGCCCGCTGCAGGCAACACATATGTTTTAATGTTTGAATAAGATAATACCTCAGCTAAAAAAGGTCTGCATTGATTAAAAATATGAAAGATAATACATTCATTGAGTGTGAATTATAGATTGCTCAACGAAAGTTAAGGCGAACATGTATTCACACTGATTAAATACACTAGCTACCTGGATCTTGTTAAACGTCTGCAAGCGAGACATAAATCACTTTTTAGTTCGACTTCGTAGTCGAACTAAAAAGTGATTTATGTTATGAGACGTAATTCAGACAGCGTTTACAGATACAAATCATAAATTGTATTGATGGCTTCAGCTCTAGTTGCGCGACCTATAGTAATATGTAACGCGGCAGGCTGTAGGGAACACGTCTCAGCATGCATCGTAAGTCCGTTGCGTAGATTGAACGTCTTGCATCAGTCACGATCGTCACGTGGTTAGATCGCATGGATACAGTTCATATACAGGGTGTTAGGTAAATGGGTATATGAGCCGACACTAGCCCATGTTAACATCCCAACTAATATTATAAATGCGAAAGTAACTCTGTCTGTCTGTCTGTCTGTTACGCTTTCCCGCTTAAACCTCGCAACCGATTTTGATGAAATTTGGCATAGAGATAGTTTGAGTCCCGGGAAAGAACATAGGATAGTTTTTATCCCGGTTTTTGAAACAGGGACGCGCGCGATAAAGTTTTTCTGTGACAGACAAAATTCCACGCGGGCGAAGCCGCGGGCGGAAAGCTAGTGGTCATATAAATGGTATGGTGAAGTCAGAAATGTGATATTACCATTTGATTTTTTTAAATTTTCATACAAAATAAATTTTATAAAATCCGATTTGTATGAAAAATAATATAATTAAAATGAAGATATCAATTTTCTGACTTCACCATACCATTTATATGACCATGTTAACATGGGCTAGTGTTGGCTCATATACCCATTTACCTAACACCCTGTATAAATCTGAACGACATGCTAAAGGGAGTTACGCGCGTGTTGCGGCGCCGCAACGCAATGTCAACGCTCATGTGGCATCCCTCTAAGGGGGGTGAAGAGAGAGGTTGCCTAGAGGGGTGGGAGGGTTGTCACCGGCGGTGGGCGCGAGGCGGCCGCGGCGCGGGTAGTGCACGCCGGCGAGCACGCGCGCGGCGCGCTGCTCGGCGTCGGGCAGCCGCTCCAGGCCTCCGAGCGGCGACGCCGTCACGATCAGCGGGTGGTACTCCGTCGCCGAGTGCGGGTTGTTGCCGCCGTACACCTGGAGATAGATGGTCTTTTAGAGATCGGTTGCACAAAACACAAAGACAGGCATAGGATGAAATGGCAAAATAGAGTATGGGACTGAAAATGGTACCCTGGGGAACGCCTTGTTTATTTACAACTTGATAGATGGCGTTTCACGGCTTCCCTGCATACGAACGGTTTGTCCAGCGCTGTAGATGTTAACCAATGACGATAGATGGCGCTTTTTAGACACGTCTTATTTATTTATTGAAATTTATTTGTCACGTATCGTCATAAATTATAGCCCATAATAATATGTCAATCTGGGTTATAAACAATAATACTGTAAAGTTGCAACAAAATTCGTTCAGTAATTTTTGCGTGAAAGAGTAACAAACATCCAGACATTATGACATTCAAACTTACGAATTTATAATATTAGTAGAAAGGTAAGCGAGACAGTAACTGCACTAGTGGCTATTATCTGTCGCTATACCACGACTGATTGGTCCCTTCTCTTTCTACTTTTAGTTTGCTCAGTAATAGAGGTATGTGTTCAGGTACAAATAAACATTGGATAGTTGGCAAACTTTGCTATCATTTGCTTTGTCGAAGTCACCATAACCTAACATACATGAAATGAATAACAAGATAGAAGTTGTGTACCTACTTATGATTACGTTTGAAAGTCATTGGCGTATCTCAAGAGTAGTATCTACTATGAACTATCATCTTAGAATCAGTAGTCCAACATCAATAAACATCCTGGGGTGGACACTAGACTATTCTGGGTTGAGCATATGTAAAGTTTGTAACTATTGTTAATTGTGAAATATCGGTTTTGTGTCAGCTGCTGAACACACTGTCAGCAGATTATTGGCTATAACAGACATTGACGTAAGTAATGTCAATGTCAAATAATACGCTCGTTAGTTGAAACGTACCTTCATTGAAGAATAAATTAATTAAATTATCACCGGGCAACCTTCAAATTCCACTGTCCACTGTGTCTCTCTAAACACTCGACATTGGCAAAACCAGTGTGCTTCAAATTGGCACCATTGTAGCCATTAAAGCCTGGTCCGTGAGCACGTAGAATCCCGTCCAATGACCCCAAGCTACCCATCCTTATCGCTCGCGCGTAATTATATTGCTGTCGCGACTGTGCGACGCGCGCCCGCAGTGAGTGTGCGAGCGCGACAGCAACATAATTACGTGCGAGCGACAAGGATGGGCAGCTTGGGGTCATTGGGCGGGATTCTACGTGCTCACGGACCAGGCTTTAGTGGATAAACTTTTTGCTGTCATTTGTTTTGTCGAAGTCATCATAACCTAACGTATATAAAATGAATAACAAGATAGAAGTTTAGTATGTATCTACTTATGATTATGTTGCAAGGTTTGTAACTACTTTGACGTTTTAGGGCGGAGGGCGTCCGCGGAAGACCAGCTTTGTGACTTGCCCTTTTGAGCATGTCACGATAAATGCTGAGCGGGTGCCTATTGGCACAGTTTTTTCTCACCACTTGTTTTAATAGCCTACATATTATGTGTTTTTGTTGTTTTTTTTTGTATTGTGTCTTTTTTTACTGTGTCAATAAACCTTTTCTATTCTATTCCATTTTAAAATTAGCTTGTTACATAATTCATTTTTTTTTATTTTGCAAGTAAACTTATAAAAACTCACACGTCCTGGTCCCTGTTACTTGAACCCTGCCACTGCTTCGGGACAACAAATGGCCAGTACTGAGAAGAAGCTAACTTGAAACGCACCTTGAAGCTGTACTTGAGTCCGCGCCTTAGCTGCAGGTCGGGCGCGAGCTGTCCGTTGACGTACCACGCCAGCGCCGGCGCCGCGCGCCCCCGCCCCGCCAGCCCGCGCGCGCCCGCCGCCGGGCCCAGACGGAACGTGAACACGCGGAGCGACGGGTCGAAGAGTTCCGCCACTTCCCAGGGCGTGGGCGCTGTGCTGGACCCGCTGGGTAGAACACATTTTATATTATACGCCATACAAGACAAGAATAGAATTATAACTGTAAAAAAAACCGACTTCAAATGCGTGANCCGCCGCCGGCCCGAGGCGGAACGTGAACACGCGGAGCGACGGGTCGAATAGCTCGGCCACTTCCCAAGGCGTAGGGGCTGTGCTGGACCCGCTGGATAGAATATACTTTAGTATATACCAGGGTTTCCCAATTTTTTTTTGCCAAGGAACCCTAATTGATTATACTTTTCCTAGCGGAACCCCCGTACTACTCCGCCCGCACTCCCTACCCCTCCCTTATGCGTAAATAAGTCAGTCCGAGCGAACAACGTCGGTCACGAAACGTGGGATAATATTTTTTACGGAACCCTTGCGGCCTTTCCTCGGAACCCCAGGGTTCCGCGGACCACCATTCGGGAACCACTGGTATATACTATACAAGACAAGAATAGAAAAAGAGAGATACAAAAGATATGGCACAATTTAGGTCATCTTAGCGTTATATCAAAAGCCCGCGCGCGCCCGCCGCCGGCCCGAGCCGGAACGTGAACACGCGGAGCGACGGGTCGAATAGCTCCGCCACCTCCCAGGGCGTGGGCGCTGTGCTGGACCCGCTGTCATTGTTCAATGTTAAGCTTCATATATGTAGTGTATCGAGTTACCGATAGATGGCGCTGTCTGTAGGTTGAATCGCGGTATGTAAGTTTTAGACGGCCCCTACATATGCTCAAATTTGGTTCGGAATAAATGAGACTTGCCACTGGAATCTTGGTTTTATTCAAGTTACTACCTGTGGGCTTTTTGGGACTTGTACAGTCATCTTATCGTTATATCAAAAGCCCGTGCGCGCCCGCCGCCGGCCCGAGGCGGAACGTGAACACGCGGAGCGACGGGTCGAATAGCTCGGCCACTTCCCAAGGCGTAGGGGCTGTGCTGGACCCGCTGGATAGAATATACTTTAGTATATACCAGGGTTTCCCAATTTTTTTTTGCCAAGGAACCCTAATTGATTATACTTTTCCTAGCGGAACCCCCGTACTACTCCGCCCGCACTCCCTACCCCTCCCTTATGCGTAAATAAGTCAGTCCGAGCGAACAACGTCGGTCACGAAACGTGGGATAATATTTTTTACGGAACCCTTGCGGCCTTTCCTCGGAACCCCAGGGTTCCGCGGACCACCATTCGGGAACCACTGGTATATACCATACAAGACAAGAATAGAAAAAGAGAGATATACAAAAGATATGGCACAATTTAGGTCATCTTATCGTTGTATCAAAAGCCCGCGCGCGCCCGCCGCCGGCCCGAGCCGGAACGTGAACACGCGGAGCGACGGGTCGAATAGCTCGGCCACTTCCCAAGGGGTAGGGGCCGTGCTGGACCCGCTGTCATTGTTCAATGTTAAGCTTTATATATGTAGTGTATCGAGTTACCGATAGATGGCGCTGTCTGTAGGTTGAATCGCGGTATGTAAGTTTTAGACGGCCCCTACATATACTCAAATTTGGTTCGGAATAAATGAGACTTGCCACTGGAATCTTGGTTTAATTCAAGTTACTACCTGTGGGCTTTTTGGGACTTGTACAGTCATCTTATCGTTATATCAAAAGCCCTTGCGCGCCCGCCGCCGGCCCGAGCCGGAACGTGAACACGCGGAGCGACGGGTCGAAGAGTTCGGCCACTTCCCAGGGCGTGGGCGCTGTGTTTGAACCACTGGATAGGTGGAACACATTTGATTATACACCATACAAGGCAAAGAAAGAAATAAAAGGTACAACACAACTTAGGCCATCTTATCGCTATAAAACTTGATGCAAAGATTCCATTGCAAAATTGGTGAATCCAACCAATCAAAGCACGATACTGCCATATATTTTATGTCGACTGGCATTTAGCGCGTCTCTAATTTTCCAACCCATTCGACCTTATGATCAAGTCAGTAAATAGATATTTAATTGAAAGAAACTGATTATTTAATCTAACAGGAGATAAAAATTAATCAGGGTTTTGAGAAGAATAAAATAAATGGTAAAGGTCGCGCAGAAAGTGTAGCGTAAGACGTCCAACAAGGTGGATGCAGACTGCTATCAACCGGTCAATATGGAAATCATTAGCGGAGGACTATATTCAGCAATGGATGTCCTGTGGCTAAATCGATAATGAAAATAAATGGTATGGCTAAAATGATGATGAAAATAAATGGTACAATTGTTAATCATGACAAAAAAGTTTAAAATGTTTGTATAGCTACTAAGTTATTGCTGTAAATACTAAACTCCTAAAACTGAGGCGAACATGTTAAGAGTGTATGTTAGTATAATACTCACACGGTAAAGTTATAGCAGTCGTTGACAGGCGGGTTCTGGTCGAGATTGAGCATGACATCCCTGGCAGGGTGTAGGCGGTGGAAGGCGGGCTCGTTGTCGGCGTCGCGCGCGCCGACTGCCCACACCACGAACACCGGCTTGTCCACCACCCACTCGCGGTCCAGCTCCTCGACTGGAGGGAGGAATGGACTTAGCAAAACGGCATTTAATATTAAGCAGATAGGGACTGGAATTCACTGGCTGCTGCTGTCTTTCTTGAACGCTAAATACGGTGGTTCCTCGACTGGCGAGAGGAATGGACTTAGCAAAACAGCATAAATAAGAGTATAAATAAGAAAGAAATATCATTAAGTTCACAATCATACTAATAACGGGATTAAACTAACGTATTGAATTTCAAAAGTCAGTAGGGGCGGCAAAAATTGAATGGCCTACTAGCGGCAAATTTGTAAATCCGCCACTGGTTTTAACAAGTGGTTTCGGAAATATTTATGAAATTCCTCGACAGAAAACAAAAAAAATATTTACAATGTATTTAAGAAGGTATAATTTCTTATTATTCATGGTAAATTATGTTATTTATCAATTTTATTTGAAAAATAGAGTACAATAGATATCATGACTACAAAAAAAAATATTATTGAGATTATTTTTATACGGTTTATTCCACTCTAAAATAGGTGTACCGTATAAGGTACAGTAGGTCTATGCATGAGCAAATCGTGCGAAACAATATAATTTAATTTTTATTATTTTTATTTGTTTTAGGCAATTGATACTTCACTTTATTGCCACAAATCATGAAAAATTTGATAATTTCAGCAAACATAAAGCAATTTTGGTATTTTTCTACTGCTGTCTTGTCAGATGACCGCTAATGATGATCAGACTGACGAAGATTTAGGCGATAAAGATAGTGTCAATGTAAATAATAACCAACCAAGCGCTTCGAGACCAACATTTGGCAAGTGCTGAGAAGAAGCGCCGCAACAAACTCAGTCATCACTGTCTGCCGGTTAATATAAATAAATAGAAATAGTAGTAGGTACATTCGATTCAGGAGCAGTTCACTGAATTTACCATGCATTCTTGTATGGTGTATCATAAGAATGGGTATACAAGATTGCGTGGTATATTAAACAACGTAGTGACGTGCTAATATCTAGACTTACATATTAAGNATATTAAACTGCTAGGTACTGGAATTCACTGCCTGCTGCTGTTTTTCCCGAAAAGTAATTCCAATCTTTTAAAGGCAAGAGTGAATAGGTGCTTACAGGGCAGGTTGTACCATCATAGACTACATCTTACTTAACTTTAGGTGTAATTGCAGTTAAATACCTGTAAAGGAAAACGATGTATGCAAACATTAGATCTCCCCAATCAGTCAGGCCAGTATGAGGTGTGAAAGCAGAATCATGGGCGTGCCAAACTTCTTCAAGGGAGAGTAGTCTAATCCAAGAAGGAGGCAAATCATATCTAGGCACGCTATTGTTAATCGTTCGTTCGTTCGAACTGAAAGACAGCCGAATGACGTCCACTGCTGGACAAAGGCCTCCCCCAAGGATTTCCACGAAGACCGATCCTGCGCCGCTCGTATCCAGGCACCTCCCGCGACCTTGTTAATACGTAAGAACAAAACTAGAGCTAGGTATGTAGAGGTTTACAGTTTCTATAGGTGTAGCGGAGGGCAGCAAGATACGGTTATGAGTAGAACGCCCGAGAACACCTGGTTGGAGTCCAGCCCGCCCAGCAGCTCGTCGCTGCCCCAGCACTTGCACGCACTAAACACAACAACAACACTCACAGGGCTTGAGCACGCGGCGGTAGGACACGCGCGCGAGCCCGTCGGCGTACTCGCCCGAGAACACCTGGTTGGAGTCCAGCCCGCCCAGCAGCTCGTCGCTGCCCCAGCACTTGCACGCACTAAACACAACAACAACACTCACAGGGCTTGAGCACGCGGCGGTAGGACACGCGCGCGAGCCCGTCGGCGTACTCGCCCGAGAACACCTGGTTGGAGTCCAGCCCGCCCAGCAGCTCGTCGCGGCACACGCCGCGCCACTGGCCCAGCACTTGCACGCACTGGAAAATTAACCTTATTATGAGGCCAGTAAAACAACAAGTTACATATCAGCAGTGTAGTGCAGTGCACTCATATGCTTACTGGTTAATGGATCAAAAATTCCTTAAACAATTTTGCTATTGAGCGCACATTTACACGAACGAAGTATTTTTTAGAACTATTCGAGCAAGATAAACTTTCTACATAAATTAGAACTTCATTATCATCATCATTTCAGCCATAGGACGTCCACTGCTGAACATAGGCCATTAGAACTTAAAATTATCAATATTGAATTTGAAGACTTTAAAAACATAAAACACGATCAGCAAAAAGCCTTTGACAATATTGATACTGAAGTTTAAATACGGAAACCACATTTTTTTTTCATTTGTGTGCAATTTAATTAATCATATAATGTTTGATGTTACTTACAATAAAATATAAAAATTACTCTGTAAATAAAAAAAATGTTTATGACCTTTTTTTAAGTGGGTACCTCAAGGGTCAATTTTAGGACCACCGTTTTTAATCGAGAAAATATTTTGTAGACATGACTATGTGAAATCTACGATGTACTCGTCTAAAATGGTTAGTAGATATAAGTTACCGGCGCTATAGCAGTGACGTTGTAGTCAGTAGCAAGCGCGCGCTGCATCTTGGCGTCGTAGTAGGCGACCGCGAGGTCGGCGCCTAACATCTGCGTCTTGCTGTCGCTGCCCGAGATGCCAAAGCCCATGTATTCGTTTTCATCGATCTGCCAGACGAAAAGCAAGTGTTTTGTGAAGAGGTAAAGTTCAATTTAGAGTACGTTGAATGAATAGGTTGGAAGGAAAGATAATTATTTACCCTGGCTGCTAGTTCGATGGTGATCTGGTTGCCGAATTTCTCCCAGGACACTTGGTAATCGCGGTGGAGCTGCTTGCAGTGTGGCAGATTTGTTCTGAAGAAAATAGATGTTTGTATAAAAGACAGAATCGTGTCGTATAGATGCTTGTTAAAGTCGTAAAGCAAAGGTCTCAAAAGCAGTTGAAATGAGATGAGCAATTTTTGGATTTCGTGGATCAAAGCTAAATTGGTTTGGGTGCATCATAAGATGCCAGTAGTCAGACCCTAGTCTAATTAATCTGATGAAGATGGTGACCAGTAAGATACATAAAATGTATCGTATAGATGACCTACACTGAACCATCCCAGCTATGATATTGTCAGGAGGGCGCTACTATCAATGCTGGATTATTAGTTTCGATTTATGTATTTGTCTGTATATCAAAATTGTTTGTTTCAAGCTGTAGATCTAGCTAATGTTATTTAATTATTTTTTTTATTTGTATTATTTTCTTCTACTACTTGACATTACATTTGACATTTATAAAACTCATATTCTGATACACCGAGCAACTCAGACCACGGCCGCCGTCTGAAAATTAGCGTCATGTGGTATGCACTTGACACATGCTGAGACGGGGACCTTTTTGCTGCTGCAACGCCGCCTAAGTAACTGTCCCGATTAATTTTAATTTTAATTATCATTCTTTTGGCTGGTTCTGTAATGTTGACCGTTTGTTTTATGTATGTATGTGTATTCATGTGGCAGCAAAATAAACGTTATTCTATTCTATTCTAGCTATACAGGAGTTGCAGTAAGGTGATGCAATAATAATATTGTATTATTTAATTGAAAACTTATTGTAATTTATAAAAAGTCGTTTTAAGACGAAAATTTGCATGCTGTGTTATCATAGTTTAATAGGTGAAAGCAACATTTAAACTTTTTGTAAACCCTATTTATTGCAAATAAATAATTTGAATTTGAATTTGTGATAGTGAGGTGGGACAAGTCCCTTGGACTAACCTGTAGGGATGCAGTGCGAGCGGCGCAGGCGGCACGTTTAGCGCGTCGGGCACCAGTACAGCCGCTAGCGAGCGCGCCGCGCCCAAGTCGTACACGGATAGCCACTTGATGTCGAACACTGTGCGCCCGCCTGGTAAGGTTAGACGAACATCTTCGCCCTTGTACGCTCGTAGCGGCTCTAAGCTGAGGAGAAATAACAATTGCGGTCAAATACCTGCCTTGTCCTGCATAAAAAAAATAGCTGGTTTCAGAACTGCGATGACGCATGCTGATTGTGGGCGCTGACAACCGAAATGTATGAGGCATAGGTGGCGAACGATCAACGTCACTTTTAATTACATGCGATTTTAAAACCACCTTTACATTTTTAGGGCTCAAAAGACGCAACTGAATCCTTACATGATTATTACAGTTAACGCTTGTCTATGTGTAAAGGCATATAACTGATATTGATATCAAATACTCAGCTCTACGGTATGTTGAAACAGTTATTGTTTTGCTAAGCAAAAGTAAGAAACAGAATTTAGAATAGAACTTACTATCCATAATCGTCAGGTATCTTGATCCCTCTCGACGAAGGCTGCGGGCCCACTCCTGTCCAGAAGTAAACCTCCTCGCCGGTGCCGTCATATTTGAATTCAGGGATACTGCAAAAGAGTTTTAATAATCAAGGTTTAAGTACTTAATACTGGAACTTGACTTTATAAAAGCCTGTTTTCAGAAAATAAACATTTTTATTACTGACATGATAGTACTGGCATCAGCCACCAGCACCGACTCGGCGCGGGAGCCTCGAAGTCATCAGGCACATAAACGTCCCCGAATGTTGCCTTCTAGAGCCAAGTAACCCTATATAAAGTAGGCTTAATATGCAACAAAACGGCTTTATTTACTGACATGATAGTACTGGCATCAGCTATGAGCACCGACTCGCTAGACACTGCTCGCTCCCCGACCAGTGGGCCAATAGTGCGTGGAGCGGGCGATTCGAAGTCGTCGGGCACGTAGACGTCCCCGAAGGCTACCTTCTAGAGCTAAAGTATCTTTATACTAGGGTCAATTTGTAACAAATGTTACTGACATGATAGTACTGGCATCAGCTATGAGCACAGATTCGCTAGAGACCGCTCGTTCCCCGACCAGTGGGCCAATAGTGCGTGGAGCGGGCGATTCGAAGTCATCGGGCACGTAGACGTCCCCGAAGGCGTTCTGGCTGGCGATGTCGTAGACGGCCAGCCACTTTATGCGCGAGATTCGCTTGCCTTCCGGCAGCGTTAGCCGAACGTCCTGGTTGTAGTAGCGCTCCAGGATGTTGGTTCTGAAACGAAGTTGGAAACATTCTTAATCCTTTTGATGTGATGCAAATTGGAACTTAACTGTAGAAGACTAATGCCCATTTTCACCATCAATCTCGAATTTTTAAGTGACCCTTATGTAAGCAAAATTCCTGCTGTCTGATACCATAGGGGTCACTTAAAAATTAGGGATTGATGGTGAAAATGAGCAGTAAGCCTCTTTAAATTAGGAGATTTATACAAGAGGAACAGAATCACCAGTATTGTCGATTTGATAAACAGCCAATATATCCTAGCCAAGTATAACTGTTAGCTCTTTTTCGGAGAACATGCTTATTATTCTCCTATCTCCAGTGCATCAAAAGTTTGCTGCAACCTTTTGGTTTATGGAATGGCCTGGGTTGGTTGGTGTAAGAAGAAAACACTCATGCCCAATCAAGAGGCTAAAAAGGTCAATTAAAGCTATGAGCAGGTTATTTGGTTTAGTTAATACAGTAGCTATCAAATATGAGTATACTTTCAAATTTAATACCAGGAGTACCATATGACAATATCATTCATTAGAATCAATAAACTTTTGCAATGTCAAATCAATAAATGACTAAACCAGTGCTATTAGCAAGACTAATGACTTAATTCTGCCCTACAAATAATGTTCATTAGAAAAACAAGTTCCTCATCATTAATTGAATAATTCAATATTTTGCATTGGATAAGTAAAGATTTATTGAATTAAAGATTTATAAAAGAAGGACATATCTAATACAAAAACATGACAGGATGTCATTGTTAGGATGCATTGACCTGTGAAAACTGGCACAGGAAGTGGTATACCAATTTCAATTCAATAAGCTTAACCTTAAGTGTTGTGTAATATAATATTCAATAGATCAAGTACATGATTGACACTAACTTGCCATGTTCATCGGGCACGATAAAGCCCTGTGGTCCCGGCCGGCCTGCGTCTCCGGCCCAGAAGAAGGTGTCGTCCCCCGTGCCATCGTAGTTGAAGTTCACAAGTATGATGGTCCACTCATCCACTGCATACACTTCGCCAGATACCTTGAACCCCGAGAACAAAATATTAGATAGAGTTAGATTACGGATATTAAATTAAAGTAATTTAATGTTTATAATGAGAATATTTTAATCACCATTGCTTAAGGCTATTGAGCAATTCATGGGAATAATAATACAATAGTAGAGCAGCTCATTCCAAAGGATTTCATATTAATTTAATTTAATTAATTAATCTTGGAACCAATTAAGTAAAATTATAGACCCAATATTTTACCCTACAGTCAAATATTGTATAGAAAGTAATTCCAAACAATGTCTTTTGTGTCTGCCTTGAAACGGCACTGAGTCACAGACCGAAGAAAATAGGGTATTTTGCTAACAAAAAGTAAATGAAAGTGTTAATAAACCTTGTGAACTGACCTGGTGGTGATAGGAATTTAGTTTCCCAATGTATTTCCCTCTGTAAGGCCCATCCTCATCCTGTGACGAACAGTCTGCAAAGTTTTATAAATACGTACACAATTAGGTGAAAGTTACGATCTGATTTTGAGCACTTTTGGACTATGTAAAAGAAAAATTAACCTTGTGCTATCACTGCAAGTAAAATAAACCATTTTATACACATTTTTAAGTCCTTTGTATAACTTTAAAATTAGTTTAATAACTTTCTAACTAAAATAAAAGGTCACCACAACATTTCGCACACCTCAACCAGACACTGACATAAACTTAATTTCCGGTTTATTGACATGTCACATTCGTTGCGCAACTTAACTCAAGGTCTCACTTATGATTGGCTGGTTACAAGCTAAGTTGCAATGCAACCAATCACAGAGCACTCACTTTCACTTACAGTGTGTATTAGTAAATGAAAACGTACTGTTAGATTGTATTGCCCTCGTAAAAAAATAAGGTAAAACCCGAAATTATAAAATTATTTAATGTATAGCCTGACCAGGAACATAAAAACCCTGGCACAGAGGCGCTTCAATTGCATTTGATAGTGCAACACTGAGTACAGTCGTACATGTGTTAAATTAATAGGCTAAATTTATGTATCAGGATTCAGGATTACGGGCTAATTTGATATTTTCATAAATTAACGAAAAATATTATTAAAGATAACCTGGTTTAAATAAATTAAATGAAACCATCAATCGAGCTAGTAGGATTTATTTTATTATTCATCAATAATCAAATTCAGAACATGAATATTCAACTGCAATGTCTGCTCATGAACGCTTCAAACTCGGTACTTCTTTCCCAATTCCATAAAATTCAAACGTCAAAAGTGATTTTATTTGCTTGTCAGTTTCACTAAACGCGCACAGGCGGCGGGCTTCAGGCGCGGCAGCGCGACGGCGCGGCGCTGGACGCCACCCTTCGGCAGTATTTTCAGTCTAGCTCCGAATCCACTTCCACGCCCACTTTGAAAGTTGGCATGAATGTTCTACACAATATTAGCTATTTAAATAAAAAAAATTAAAAAAATCGAAAGGGTCGAACTTTGTGAAAATCAAGGAAAAAAAATTAATTTGCATTTTTTATAGGAAAAAATATATTTTTTTTCGTTTCCAAAAATACAGTTAAAAAGCACGGTAAATGAAGTAATAAATCCCGTGGTTTAATTATTTTAATATATAATTTTATGACTCGATAATCGGCTTTGAAGTACTGCATGCCAACCGGTTGTCGAAAACTTCGAAGACCCATAGCTCTTAAACTAGTCATTATAATTACAAAAATATTTGGTACACGTATCAACAATATGTATAGGTAGAACATACTCAAATATTACTGAAATCGGAAACATCGACTTTTTTTACCTGTCCGCTTCGCGTGGAATGCCCCATCTACGATGTACGTGTATAAAATGTTAGTATCTCAAGTTACCGGCGCTATAGCGGTGACGTTGTAGTCGGTAGCGAGCGCGCGCTGCATCTTGGCGTCGTAGTAGGCGACCGCGAGGTCGGCGCCTAACATCTGTGTCTTGCTGTCGCTGCCCGAGATGCCGAAGCCCATGTATTCGTTTTCATCGATCTGCCAGACGAAAAGCAAGTGTTTTGTGAAGAGATAAAGTTCAATTTAGAGTACATTGAATGAACAGGCTTGAAGCAAAGATAATTATTTACCCGGGCTGCTAGTTCGATGGTGATCTGGTTGCCGAATTTCTCCCAGGAGACTTGGTAATCTCGATGCAGCTGCTTGCAGTGTGGCAGATTTGTTCTAAAGAAAATAGTTACTTTTAAGAAGAAAGTATTAAATATTTCTAACATAAGTAATGTTCATCATCTCGTAAAGATGACCGTCAAATTCGTCCAGGAAAGTTCACAAAAATGGAGTCCAACTGATCGAAGTATTTAGGCAGGAGATACAGCTGATGGACCAAATCTATAGGACAGTGATGGTGACAACAAGACCTGTAAAATTGGGCCGCAATAGAGGTAAGCTTCACAGGTACCTCGGTCAGGTCGGAAGCCAAACTGGATTTCGGGCAGGATCCGTTCTGTAAATAGGCTACGTAAGCCATCTTCGGGCACACCAGCGCCGCCAACACAACTAGGAGTCGGAGTGGTCGCCATGGCCGAAATCGGTCGGATGGATCATCATCATCATCAGTACCTACTGGGGATTGGGGATAGACGGAGTAATAGATAGATAGCTATGTATAATTATACCGACCTGTAAGGGTGCAGTGCGAGCGGCGCAGGCGGCACGTTAAGCGCGTCGGGCACCAGTACAGCCGCTAGCGAGCGCGCCGCGCCCAAGTCGTACACGGATAGCCACTTGATGTCGAACACTGTGCGCCCGCCCGGTAAGGTTAGACGCACGTCTTCGCCCTTGTATGCTCGGAGCGGCTCCAGGCTGAAAAGAACATCACTTACATTTACAAAAGTTCCGTACATCAAAATGATATACGTATCTTTGTAAGATCATTCCTGTCAGCGATCTGTCAAAGGGTAGAGATATCTAATTGATTTCATAGTTTCAGTCACATGAAATTGTTGTGGTGTTGTTTCATGGGACCCTCCTAATCCACACGGATCTAATTCGTTCGGTAACTGCTCAGAGTTGGTGGCACTGTGCCGACGATGCGCGGGCGCTAGCAAAACAAGAACACCTAAAAGATGATAATGTTATAATTAAAATTGTAGAAAACAAATGGAACTTACTAGCCATAATCATCAGGTATCTTGATCCCTCTCGACGAAGGCTGCGGGCCCACTCCTGTCCAGAAGTAAACCTCCTCGCCGGTGCCGTCATATTTGAATTCAGGGATACTGCAAAGAAAGTTATAACAATGTTATGAGGCAATGTTAATACCACAGAGAAATGTTACATGGCGTTACTGGTGTCTATTTTTTTTTGTTGGCTGCAAAAATTGTATTTTCCACGGGCTTCTAAAACTAAAGTATATGCAATAGGGACAATTTGCAACAAACGGCAGATTATATTACTGACATGATAGTACTGGCATCAGCTATGAGCACAGATTCGCTAGACACCGCTCGTTCCCCAATAGCCGGCCGCTCGGGCCGAAAGTGCGCGGCGCAGGCGATTCGAAGTCATCAGGCACGTAGACGTCCCCGAAGGCTACCTTCTAGAGCTAAAGTATCCCACATCGACAGTTTATACTAGGGTGTCTAGGATCAATTTGCAACAAATGTTACTGACATGATAGTACTGGCATCGGCTATGAGCACCGACTCGCTAGACACCGCTCGCTTCCCGACCAGCGGACCAATAGTGCGCGGCGCGGGCGATTCGAAGTCGTCAGGCACGTAGACGTCCCCGAAGGCTACCTTCTAGAGCTAAAGTATCCCACATCGACAGTTTATACTAGGGTCAATTAGCAACAAATGTTACTGACATGATAGTGCTGGCATCAGCTATGAGCACAGACTCGCTGGACACCGCTCGCTCCCCGACCAGCGGGCCAATAGTGCGTGGAGCGGGCGATTCGAAGTCGTCGGGCACGTAGACGTCCCCGAAGGCTACCTTCTAGAGCTAAAGTATCTTTATACTAGGGTCAATTTGCAACAAATGTTACTGACATGATAGTGCTGGCATCAGCTATGAGCACCGACTCGCTAGACACCACTCGCTCCCCGACCAGTGGGCCAATAGTGCGTGGAGCGGGCGATTCGAAGTCATCGGGCACGTAGACGTCCCCGAAGGCGTTCTGGCTGGCGATGTCGTAGACGGCCAGCCACTTGATGCGCGAGATTCGCTTGCCTTCCGGCAGCGTTAGCCGAACGTCCTGGTTGTAGTAGCGCTCCAGGATGTTGGTTCTGAAACGAAGTTGTAAATGTTCTTAATCCTTTTATTAGTGATGCAAATTGGAACTTAACTATAGAAGACTAATGCCCATTTTCACCATCAATCTCTAATTTTTAAGTGACCCCTAGGAAAACAAAATTCCTGTTATGTGTTACCATAGGGGTCACTTAAAAATTAGGGATTGATGGCGAAAACGAGCATTAAGCCTCTTTAAATTAGAAGATTTATACTTGTACAAGAGAGGAACAGAATCACCAGTATTGTAGATTTGATAGACAGCCACTATGTCCTAACCAAGTATGGACTGTTAGCTCTTTTTCGGAGAACATGTTTATTATTCCTATCTCCAGTTATCCAGACTACTGCAACCTTTTGGTTTATGGAATGGCCTGGGTTGGTTGGTGTAAGAAGAAAACCTCATGGCCCAATGAAGGGCCTAAAAAGGTCAATAAAAGCTATGAGTAGGTTATTTTGTTAATCAGATATGTCGTATACTTTCAAATTTTAAAAGCATGTAATACCGGGAGCACCATATGACAATATCATTCATTAGAATCAATAAACTTTTGCAATGTCAAATCAATAAATGATTAAACCAGTGCTATTAGCAAGACTAATGACTTAATTCTGCCCTACAAATAATGTTCATTAGAAAAACAAGTTCCTCATCATTAATTGAATAATTCAATATTTTGCATTGGATAAGTAAAGATTTATTGAATTAAAGATTTATAAAAGACATATCTAATACAAAAACATGACAGGACGTCATTGTTAGGATACATTGACCTGTGAAAACTGGCACAGGAAGTGGTATACCAATTTCAATTCAATAAGCTTACACTTAAGTGTTGTGTAATATAATATTCAATAGACCAAGTACATGATTGACACTAACTTGCCATGTTCATCGGGCACGATAAAGCCCTGTGGTCCCGGCCGGCCTGCGTCTCCGGCCCAGAAGAAGGTGTCGTCCCCCGTGCCATCATAGTTGAAGTTCACAAGTATGATGGTCCACTCATCCACTGCATACACTTCGCCAGATACCTTGAACCCCGAGAACAAAATATTAGATAGAGTTAGATTACGGATATTAAATTAAATTAATTTAATGTTTATTATGAGAATATTTTAATCACCATTGCTTAAGGCTATTGAGCAATTCATGGGAATAATAATACAATAGTAGAGCAGCTCATTCCAAAGGATTTCATATTAATTTAATTTAATTAATTAATCTTGGAACCAATTAAGTAAAATTATAGACCCAATATTTTACCCTACAGTCAAATATTGTATAGAAAGTAATTCCAAACAATGTCTTTTGTGTCTGCCTTGAAATGGCACTGAGTCACAGACCGAAGAAAATGGGGTATTTTGCTAACAAAAAGTAAATGAAAGTGTTAATAAACCTTGTGAACTGACCTGGTGGTGATAGGAATTTAGTTTCCCAATGTATTTCCCTCTGTAAGGCCCATCCTCATCCTGTGACGAACAGTCTGCAAAGTTTTATAAATACGTACACAATTAGGTGAAAGTTACGATCTGATTTTGAGCACTTTTGGACTATGTAAAAGAAAAATTTACCTTGTGCTATCACTGCTAGTAAAATAAACCATTTTATATACATTTTTAAGTCCTTTCTATAACTTTAAAATTAGTTTAATAACTTTCTAACTAAAATAAAAGGTCACCACAACATTTCGCACACCTCAACCAGACACTGACATAAACTTAATTTCCGGTTTATTGACATGTCACTTTCGTTGCGCAACATAACTCAAGGTCTCACTTGTGATTGGCTGGTTACAAGCTAAGTTGCAATGCAACCAATCACAGAGCACTCACTTTCACTTACAGTGTGTATTAGTAAATGAAAACGTACTGTTAGATTGTATTGCCCTCGTAAAAAAATAAGGTAAAACCCGAAATTATAAAATTATTTAATGTAAAAATATAACAAAAATTGTAAATAAAGATGACTAATTGCAAGAAAAGTAGTTAGATTAATGTTAAAAAGATTGTAATGTTTTTTAATGACATCAAAAAAACTTAACAATCGCGGGAATGTTTGAAAGTTTGATCCAACTTTGTGAAATAAATTATTCCAGTGCTTACTGCTTACCAAAAAAAAAATTAGGTAATTATAGGAACTGTCATTGTTAAAATAGAGTTTAGACTTGATTAGAATTCAACAAAGAGTGATTGTGAGAAAAATTATCCGAAAGTAAAATACCTACCAGTGAAATGGGTTTTAGCGCCGGTTCCAGAGACCTCGAGTTAAGGTAAGACTTTTTTAAGGACAGTATTGAATACTTATTCGAATAAGTAATTATCAAGTTAATACAAACTATTTTTTATTACAAGNTTAGCAATTTAATTCACAAAATCAATTGCACACATTTAAAATAAAGTTTGTTTACACTTTGACAACAATAGACTGACATGCAAGGTGACATGTCAATGAAGTTTTCAGTTACTGTTGCCATTAAAAGAAATTAGTACCATTAGTTTTCCGCAACATGGCGAGGGTTTTTATGTTCCTGGTCAGGCTATAAAAATATAACAAAATTGTAAATAAAGATGACAAATTGCAAGAAAAGTAGTTAGATTAATGTTAAAAAGATTGTAATGTTTTTTAATGACATCAAAAAAACTTAACAATCGCGGGAATGTTTGAAAGTTTGATCCAACTTTGTGAAATAAATTATTCCATTGCATACTGCTTACCAAAAAAAATTAGGTAATTAAAGGAACTGTCATTGTTAAAATAGAGTTTAGACTTGATAAGAGTGATTGTGAGAAAATTAATAAAATTATCCGAAAGTAAAATACCTACCAGTGAAATTATTAGCGCCGGTTCCAGAGACCTCGAGTTAAGGTAAGGCTTTTTTAAGGACAGTATTGAATACTTATTCGAATAAGTAATTATCAAGTTAATACAAACTATTTTTTATTTATTTTCTTACCTTTAGAGAAGATTACTTAACTTTGACCAGACCGCAAATAATGTTGAATCAGGTTTGATGATCAGTTATGCCACGCCCAAACTGAAACTGAATTTAGAGTCATTATCATCCGTAATAGAGGCAGGCAAGAAAGAAGTTCAATACACGATGGCCGTCCATAGCGCCACACACTTGGAGGCCGGAGGGCAGGAGGCCGCGGTCTCGCGCACTCTGCACTTTCACTCGCTCCTCGTTCCTCGCCACACATTCTCGTTTGCGTTTCTGATTCTAGTGTAGTGCCATTTTATTAGCATGGCCATATTTTTCAACTTTAATAATTTGTAGTTTTACAAATAAATGGTCAAATGTAAAGGCGGATTTCATGCGCATATTTTGTTAGATAGAGATAGAGACCCGCTCTAATAACTATTAGACACATTTAAGATATTCAGAACCTAAGAAACCCGTATTAAGAGTACCTAATTATGTAGGTGGCTATCTTGTGCAGGGCCACGCACAGGTAAGCGTAGTGCACGTCGACCCATGCTTGGGATCTTTTGTGCATGATGTAGTTTGATGATCTAGATTTTATTGAATTTATAAAAAAAAATAGAAAGAGGCTCTTGGACATTATTATTTGAGCAAATTTGAATCTAAAGATCGTTACAAAGCACAGTATATCTACCCAAGTAAATCAAGCTTCATTAGCACTGAGAAACTAGAATTTAATAAATACCATTAACGAAGTGCAACGTACAGTACAAACTATTTAATTAATATTTATTAAATGCACACAACAAACGACCAAAGTTGTAACGGAATGAAATCCTTTGTCGGGCGATGTTGCGAGCGCTGGCGAGCTGAAAATGCTTTTAAAGCAAAGCATAAGCAACGCGAGGCGAATATCTTAATCTCAGCTGTCTGTCTGCTTGATGAGAAGTTACGAATAATTCCTAGCCTAATTATTTTATCTTCCTTTTCTATGTATTACAATGCATTGTCTTAACGATCAAATAGGTAACTTTGAAGCTACGTCTCTTTACAAATTAAAATTGCATGTCAAAACCTAAGGATTGCTATAACTAGGCGCTAAACGTTTCTAGTTGAAGAGACACGTTATGTAGGTATGAGGATAGAGGTACAGGGCTATTTAAGTAACCACTTAATCTAGGCCCCCTGGCAAGCAAGCAAGCAAGATACATTTATCATACTTTGCTAAAAGTTTGCGCCACATGGTAAAACAATAGGAATCAGCGCAGTCATCATCGTTCAATACTTCAATGATAGATATTCGTACGTACGTAAGCAGCATTCAATAGTGTGATTCATTGCCGGTAGCTGAAATTTGGACAGGCGCTTTCTGTCAGACAGATCGACTACGCCACGCCCTAGAAATCAATAGTAAATCGGAGATTATGATATTCATGATTGTTTTAGTTTCAATAGGCAGTGCTGGGATAACCCATAAGCAAATTAAGCAATTGTTTAAGGTTAGGGCATCACGTTTTGGGGGGCACCAAGAAAATTAGGGTGGGTTTAGGCACACAGGCAGGTGTGGATTGTTTGGGGCATCAAATAAGTATTTAGTCATAATCAGGCACTGTCAAATAGGTGGCAGGTGGGTTTGAATTAGAATCATTGCGGTAGTAGTATGGTACCTGCCCAGTAGTGTCGGCATTTTCACGTCATGTTATCGGCATTTAAAAACAAAAACTACTTATACAGCGATGTCATAAAAGACAAATTAATTTACAGCATTCGCACTCAGTTCCTTATTAATTAAACTATTTGATGTCAGTTTTCATAATTGCTTCCGAACGGGTTAAATTGAATGTATGTAGTACTGATATAGGTAATAGATGTCAGTTATTTTTTAGATTCATATTTTTATAATGATTTCTTTTCGGAAACATTTATATCCGAATAATGTTTTTATTACCATTTTTATTACAAGCAGTGAGCGTTAAAAACGTATAAAATACTAGCCCTTTTATAACAGCTTAAGGTAATGTGTTCTTCGTGTATGGTACTTTGAATTTACAAGCAGTTTAATGCTTTCTTTTTCTAGCAGTTCTAGTAAGGTATACTTTCTCTGACTAATCCAATGTACTTTTATGTGTATAAAATCGGTTAATGGTTAAATCGACGTCACAAGAAAACGTTCAAAATACATGCAGATTGTAAATTAATAAAAAACAGTCAAAGCACAATACACGTCCCACATAGAAATCGAACGCAGGAATTGTCTACTGTTAAGAGTTTAATTACCACTCCACTGAGATTACGCACTCACAACGGTGGATTGAATTTAGATAAAGATTTGTATGCCGAGTGCGCAATGATCTTAAACTTTGACACTTTTGGAATGTATTTTTAATGCAAATAAATATTATTAGTATTGAAGAAACTTAATGGACTAGACTTAGAATTGATTAAAGCAAGTAGCTCAAGAGAGACCTGTTGGATTGGACGTCAACATTGAATGTCCTTTACCTACTCCATTTAGGTCACACAGGTTAGTAAGTCGAAGAAAGTAACTGCGTATTAATTACAATGCCTAAACTCCTCAAATTACGATGAATAATTACTTACTCTCATCATCTCATGTAGTAGATGTAGATTTACTTAGTGGGCTCCAACAAATAGACAGCAATATTACAACCTTTAACAAAAATATAGAAGACTAGCTTTCCGCCCGCGGCTTCGCCCGCGTGGAATTTTGTCTGTCACAGAAAAACTTTATCGCGCGCGTCCCTGTTTCAAAAACCGGGATAAAAACTATCCTATGTTCTTTCCCGGGACTCAAACTATCTCTATGCCAAATTTCATCAAAATCGGTTGCGAGGTTTAAGCGGGAAAGCGTAACAGACAGACAGACAGACAGACAGACAGACAGAGTTACTTTCGCATTTATAATACGAGGGCGGCACTGAAAATTTCGGGAATCAAGGAAGTGAAACAACATTACTATTTAAAAATGTATTTATTGCTTTTTAAAGTATTCTCCGCGAAATTTGACACATTTTTCCATACACGAAACAACCATTGCANAAGTGAATACTTAAAATAATATCGATTAAATTTACAGATTATTGTCTATGACTCACAGGTTACGGCACTGATGTGTCAGAGACAAGTCATAGACAATATGGAGATAACACATGATTTTAAACGTCAAGTCAATTTGACAAGTCTCACAAATTCTCATCGTCCACGTATTTTGCTAAAATAATTTGTTTCAAAGATTGATTTCAAACTTGTATAAACGTGAAAATAAAGTTGGTTTCATGGGCTTGTTAAATAACGTGTATGATATTATGAACACGTAAGTGATTATGGTGTAATTGTGTATGAAAGTGTTTGTTTACATCTCTGCTGGATTCTAAAAAATCAAGGTATACATAGGATTTATTTTAATAACCCCAAAAAAAAATCACTAATTTAATTTGTAACACTTTTAACATATAATTTAGTTCCACTTAGTCTATGATATATGTGTAATGCTAGGTAATCATGAAAAATATAAATTTATCAACCATATTTTTATCAAAAATCTTTTAATAACGACAAAAATATTTACATTTTGGTGAAAAAAATAAATAATGCTCCACAGACACGTCTTCTCACACGTGGCGCCGACACGAACTGAGGTGCGGCGGGGTATTGTCGAAAGTATCCTTACGCGATATAGTGCACGATATGGCAGCATTTAAGAAATATTGCAGTGTTTTATTGTGTACCATTGTTTCATTGTTGAACATCTGACCCTATGGTACCTGCCCAGTAGTGCCAGTAGTGTCGGCATTTTCACGTCATGTTGCCGGCATTTTAAAACAAAAACTACTTATACAGCGATGTCATAAAAGACAAATTAATTTACAGCATTCGCATTCAGTTCCTTAATAAAACCATTTGATGTCAGTTTTCATAATTGCTTCCGAATGGGTTAAATTGAATGTATGTAGTGCTGATATAGGTAATAGATGTCAGTTATTTTTCAACCGACTTCAAAAAAGGTTCTCAATTCGACCCGTATGTTTTTTTTTTTCTATGTTTGTTACGCGATAACTCCGCCAATTATGAACCGATTTGAACAAATCTTTTTTTGGCGTATAGGTAATACCTCAAGGGTGGTCCCATTTAAATTTAATAATAGAAAAAACAACCCCCAAGGGTGGAAAATTGGGGACGAACTTTTTTATACGCAATATCTCCGCCGATTATAAATCAATTTGAAAGATTATTTTTTTGTTGAATAGGTATTATCAAAAGGGTGGTTTCATGCGAATTTGAAGAAAATATTTCACCCCCAAGGGTGGAAAATTGGGGATGAACTTTTTTATACGCAATATTTTTAATTTTTAGTTTTTTTTTGTGTTCACGCATTTGAAGTCGGTTTTATTTTTTTAAAAAGTTAATTATTAGATTCATATTTTTATAATGATTTCTTTTCGGAAACATTTATATCCGAATAATGTTTTTATTACCATTTTTATTACAAGCAGTGAGCGTTAAAAACGTATAAAATACTAGCCCTTTTATAACAGCTTAAGGTAATGTGTTCTTCGTGTATGGTACTTTAAAGGACAATGGGCAAAATGGTACCCGGCTCCAATAGATATGAGTCTAGTATCGTCTGAAAGGTCTTACCAAGGTGAACAACTTTTACTATGACCACCAGCCTCAGATCTGGTTGTGTACGAAGATATACATACTTTTTTGCAGAATGGTACCTGGCTCCAATAGTAATGTTTGTAGTGTCATTTGAAAGGTCTTACCAAGACGAACAACATTTACTATGGCCACCAGCCTCAGATCTGGTTGCGTTCGAAGATAAAGATACTTTTTNTACATTTGTGCCCATCATCCTTTACAAGCAGTTTAATGCTTTCTTTCTCTAGCAATTCTAGTAAGGTAATACTTTCTCTGACTAATGCAATGTAGTTTTATGTGTATAAAATCGGTTAATGGTTAAATCGACGTCGCAAGAAAACGTTCAAAATACATGCAGATTGTAAATTAATAAAAAACAGTCAAAGCACAATACCGTCCCACATAGAAATCGAACGCAGGAATTGTCTACTGTTAAGAGTTTAATTACCACTCTACTGAGATTACGCACTTACAACGGTGTGGATTGAATTTAGATAAAGATTTGTATGCCGAGTGCGCAATGATCTTAAACTTTGACACTTGGAATGTATTTTTAATGCAAATAAATATTATTAGTATTGAAGAAACTTAATGGACTAGACTTAGTAGAATTGATTAAAGCAAGTAGTTCAAGAGAGACCAGCTGGAATGTACGTCAAAATTGAATGTCCTTTACCTACTCTATTTAGGTCACACAGGTTAGTAAGTCGAAGAAAGTAACTGCGTATTAATTACAATGCCTAAACTCCTCAAATTACGATGGATAATTACTTACTCTCATCATCTCATGTAGGAGATGTAGATTTACTTAGTGGGCTCCAACAAATAGACAGCAATATTACAACCTTTAAAAAAATATAGAAGATGCTGCCTTGTAATGCATAAAAAATATCCCACATCCGTTATCACATCGCCAATGGCTTCGGATCTACAGTCCTGCCCTCACTGGGAATCAAAATCTTAGCACAGGACCACAGATGCTGTGGTACGAGTATGTGGCTACTTGACCAGTACCTACAAGCGCGCAGGCAAGGATCTTGATGACGTTGTTGGTAGTGCAAGGCAAATTCGTTCGTGAACATTCGAGATTTGTTGACTTTAAGACTTTGACTTCAAGTTAACAACAGAATTGGCCAGAATCAATACCGTGGAGCCCGCTGTGCTGCGCCCAACTGTGGCCGCCTCGGGCGTCCAATATCCCCGTCTGGCGATCGTCTGCGGATCTTGCTGACTACCCCAATTCGGGGCGAGGATTGCGAAATTGCTTAAAAATGTTGAAGTCATGATATTTGATTTCTATTATAGCAAGGCCAAACGCCACATTAACATTATTTACCTTCTTCATCCTCATCTTCGTGTTAAACTCTTAAAATGTTTCATGATCTTAAAGTAAAACTAAATCTATAGGGAGGTTAAAATAGGTACGTTAATTTTCTTACCAAATTATCAGTTCGATGATTCCAGTTGTTTCAGTATTTACCCGACTGTACCAGAAGGAGGGTTGTGTTTTTTCTCTAGTATCTTTAATTTGAAAGAAAGAAAAATAGTTCAGTAATTTGATGATTCACTTGTTTTGAAACTGGCGTAAGTGTTGTCTGCATATCTCAAAAGAATTCTCCCATGATGTGGAGCTGGAGATGGCTATAATTATTATGATGAAAGTAATTTCTAGAGTAAATCTCAGTGGTTTTTGCCGCGTCGACATTGTCTGCCGCATCGAACTTTACCCGACCAATCTTAGAGCTGCATTGTCTTGTTTTCAATCTGAACTCGGTTTCGATGCAATACAATTCGGCATTGTTGTAGGAAGCGACGTGGGATTTGTTTATTTTTGTTCGAGTGAAATGACAGTGGGTGGATCGACAGACAATTGAAATAGTTTGTAGGTAAGACCTACTGTACCTACTTACATAATTCTTTCTGTATTTAATGAAATCAAGTGCCATTTAAATAGTTTAACATTTGAGAACTAAGCTTGTTGATGATTATTGCTTATTTTGTCATTTTATTACGTTATTATTTCTTCAATTGTTGATTATATGTTGACAAACTTATAAAAATAATAAATGATCATTGAATCATTACCATTCTTACCCAAGTAAAATATTTGCTTGCTAAAATTCGTATAAAGTAAACCTTACCAAGAGAGAAATAATTTAGTCAATTAAGTAGTTATTGATTAATAGCAAATAGATATTCTTTTAAAGGAAAGATGTAAAAATAAAATGGGGACATTATACTATATTTGGCGTGTTGCACATTTGTAATTGGTCATGTAATTATTTAAAACCTCGAAATTAGATCCACCCACTAACATTTCCCACAGTAAATCCTTATTGGACAAGATTTTCAACATCGTAGCCTTCGCCGTTTATTTCAGACATTTAATAGCCGCAAAGGTCGACGGACAAACAAGGTTTTATTAGTCTACTACCGTCGCTTTTGGACATGAAGAGCTCCGGCCAATTTTAGAATCAAGGTGTCAACCAAAATATTTGAAGACACCTCTCCAGTGCATTTACAATGTGTACAGTGTTTGTTCGATGTCAAGACGATCCGATGTGCAACGACATGTAAACAGCAGCCGACGATTGGTGCAACCTCTTTGCACAACTCACGCGCAGCAAAACCGCCGGCGCCGAGCGTGCGGCGTCAGTCTCTGGGAGGCATCGGGCGCGCGCGGACGTCTCTGTACACAACACACGCACTGTCGACACGAATATTCCACAGCATCCGACCTATCTGACACAGCTGTTCAGGACTATAGGGATTACTCTAGGGATACATTTGTGATCTGAAGTGAATGTCGCTGTCCGCAATGCGGTCGGCGGGTGCGCTGCTGCTCTTGCTTGGTGAGTAACTGTTTATTCACCTATCAATAGTTAGTTAACATTCCGAAATTGGACCATAGAAAATTAATCTAGATTAGTATTTGAGCTAAGGAATACCTTGTGTCAAATATAAGTAAACGGTCAAAATGATAATTCAAGGATTATTCTAATTTAATGCATCATTAAATTATTGATTCAATGCACAAAAAGTTCACCGAGGTGAAGTTAATTATGAATAATTTATTGTTAATAAACTTTTTGGGGTTTATTCAGAGTTTATTTAATTAAATTCTACTAATATTCAAGGAAATCCGCTAGCTGTGGATATCGTAGCTTATAATCTCTATCACATTACCGTTATTTGTGAAAGTTTTGAAACAGATGTGAAGGTACGAGTAGCTTTTACGTTAAAGATACTTCTCGTTTTTTCTTAAGGGTATTAACTAAAAGAAAAATTAATAAAATGAAGTCGTATGATTCCTAAATACAATAAGATGCTATTGAACTAGATATTTTCTATGCTGACTACTTTTATATACGTATGCATGAGGGTAGAATTAGGTCCGTTTGAACTAGTGACTTTATTGGATTTAGTTTCATTGCTTTTAGAAATCGAGCAATCACGACCCGAGTTAAACATTTTATTCCTCTCATAACAATTCCAATAAGAGATAGTGCCCAGTTAACCTGGAATAATGGCTTTAATACCCACATTTCTGTACTAAAACGCGAATCGGATCGACTTTCTGCAATGTCGAGTAAAGTTTTCTTTTCATGGGAAGTTTGTTTAGATTTTTGCAAATTAAATTGCGAATCTGATTTAGTTTTTCCTAGTCTTCCTTTACGGCGTGAGTCCTCCTGTAATATAAATGTGGAATGACTCTACTGACCGCGTTTTAATATTTCTGTTATGAGTTAATCATGTTTTGTAATACATAATCATCAACGTATTCAATTTACACTCTTGTCAACTTATCAACAAGACAGAAAAATATACATTTGTTTTTTTATATCAATGTGTTCCTCGTAATCTTCTTAGATTCCTTGGTTAAAATTACTTAATATGCGATAATAATGAACTTAGTTTTGAATCCTACTTTTTAACGATTTTCAAAATTAGATGAGTAGTTTCGGCGACTATCTCCTACATAATATTATCTTTTATCTATGACAAAGTAACGATCATTTGTTGTAAGATGTACTAAATCAGGATTTTGTTTCATTAGCTTTCCTGTACTTGGGTACATTCGTTGCCACTTAATTAATTTTATGTTATTTAATCTCCAAAAATGGTTGTGCTAAACCTAGCCACAATTATCGCTTCAAGTAGTCCGTCAATGCGACTTTCTCCGCGATTCGGGAGCCTTTGTGCTTGCGCAAGCACACATCTTGACGAGCAACCAGTTCCAAGCTCCGAGCTATCGCGAAGGTGAAATGTAAATGTAGCATGTATTGGTATTGCATAGTCGTATCAGTAATGTAAAGTTTTGGTACGGACCGGAAGGCAGGTGGTGGCAGTCTGGCCTGGTGGTCCGTACCGGACTACAACATTAGCTACGGCTGCTTCAATTTCCGTTGATGTTAGTTTGATTGACAGAGATTGATTAGAGTAATTTAAAGCAGGAGTCATGGCCTTTAAATAATATCTATTTAATATTGTAGGTAAATATAATCCTATGTGTTGTAGCCAGTCGAAAAGTAATGACAGTAAACAAACCGCAAAAGCTACTTGAGGCATAGTTAGCGAAACAATTCTAGCGCGCTTCATCATCATCAAAATTTAGTGTTAGTGCTCATTTCTGTGCACTTTCCTTTTGCAAAGGTCGCGTTTTCCATCAGCTTGGAATGCCAGCAACCTGAATTATCTCCATCTGATACTTGTTTGCGTCCACGTTGTACGGTATCGCCGCGATCGGGGACGGGCTGACACACAAAACAGAGAATTTTGGCGCCGGCGCCGACCTGCGACCTGAGCCCGCAAGTTACAGGAGCGAGCGGTATAGTTATGCATCATATTAGATTAGAAATTAATGACATTGGCAGAATCACCGCGGCAATAAATCCGCGGGATAGTCAAAAAAAAAAAAAATAGATTAGAAATAGCGACAGTGGGGCACTTTAAATTCCGTTAAATACATCGAATACACCACGTGAGTATGTACAAAACAGAGATTAGAATTTTCAGGAAAAAAGCTTGTGGGGTCATACTCCGACAGTTTTCTAAGATTCGCCGTCATAGTCACAATCAGGTGGACTTTGTGATATTCTATGGTTGCAGCCGTCGTTACTGCATCGTCATTTATTCTGCTGTATTATTTCATTTATTTCGGACATTTGGGACTTTTGTCACTAGGGTGTCCTCAGCTTCCTATCGGAATAACACATTATTCGTACCTTTTCATAGTTTGCTGTGCTGGAAGCCAGTCGAATGTTCTACAGTTCTATCAGCAGCAGAATTATTTACTCTTACTTTTTGCTTATTCTGTGTCAATGTGGTTTGCAAATAAACCTTTTTTCTATCTATCTATCTAACTTTAACAAATGTAAAAAAAAACTGTCAACCTCCATACAAAAAACACCGGTTATGGTTACAGTTTAGGTTAAAGTTAGGTGTCCTCAGCCTCAGAATGCTTTTGTTGTCCCGCCCGCGGCAGCTCCCGCGCTACGCCGCGCGACATTAGCATGCGCCGGCATTTGTCGCCGTCTGCAGCTGGACCAGTTTGTTCTGCTACCAATCTGACATTTGCCAAACTAGCTCTATTAGAATACACTAATTTAATGGCTTTTATTATGTGTTGATTTTTGTATAAAACAAACATTTAAAGCACATGTAAGGTTAGCTAAATGTGCATACTCGTATCTTTATTTACCTTTTGTAAGACAGTCTCTTATCATCTTTCAAATGCGATTTGTATTCATTACGTCAAACATACTTCCTTGCGTGATCGAAAATTTCACTTCCTATTGTTATTAGAAACCAAATTAATTATAAGTATTTGTATGTTTTCTAATTTATTTATTTGCAAATTGGGACTTGCGTCGGTTAATAGATGTTCTTTATTGACTATCAAATCTTTTTTTAACTACTAAATACTGTCATTAGAATGCACTGTTTTATAAAAATAAATATTAGTAGGTAGTTACATAATTATAATAACAACATTAATCACATAATCACGATTATCTATCAAAATTACCTATAGCAAATCTTAAAGTCATGACAATTCAAGGTTGAACGTGTGTACGCCTTTCATCAAAATGAGATTAGTTTCCTAATGCTACAAAGATTCGTTTTTATATCTCCAAACTCGGTTCAAACGTCTTAGCTTAATAACGGTTATTAACTAAATCGGTTAGGAACCATCTTCGAACTAGACACGACTGATGTCGAAAGATGACTATTATTACAAAAAATTGCCAATTTGCACGCAATAATTGCTGTTAAAACGCTGATTGTTATCACAAAAAATCGCCAATATGGCAAAAAGTTAATAACTAAAGACGATACAATAGCAACACT